TTGGAATTGTTTGAAATTATGGATTCTACAGGCCACATTCTATAAGAAAAATTTTTTTCCGGGTCGATCTGAAACAATTTTTTTTCGGGCCTCAAAAAAAAGCAGTGTATAAACCTTCCTTTTTTACCAAAAATCGACTACACCAAAATTTCTCGGGAAACCACTTTTTCTTATTAATTTTGATGCGTATTTGAGTGACAAGTATTTGAATACTTTTTACTGTACCTATTCGAATACTTTTCAAAGTATTCGAATACTTTTTATAGTATTCGAATACATTCTAAAGTATTTGAATACTTATTTTTTTAAGTATTTGTATACTTTTCAATGTATCTGCATCTAGTATTCGCTTGTGCTGGACGTAAAAGTATTTTTTCTATTTCGGTGTCACAATGATGATTTTGTACAACTGTTTTCGGCCGAAAACAGTTGTACAAAGACAGTGATTATAGTCGTTTTTTTTTGGTAACTCATCTCTTAAGTTGGCAGTTACTAGTTAGTACAAGTAGGTACTTCGTTGGGTACTTCCATGTTTGAACTTCAAAATGTCAGTCTTACTACGCTGCCAACCTAAAACTTAACGGCATAAAAAGTGTTCCCAACATAAAACATGTTAGTTCTAATGTTCCCTATAGTTTCTGATAATGATTTTTTTAATTAAATTAAAGCACCGAAATAGAAAAAATAGTATGAAAAACGCGTGTTACAATGCTTTATTGTAATACTCCTATCTTGCGGACACTCGTGGCTACGCTTCGCGTCGCCACTCGTGCCACAAGATAGTCGTATTACAATAGGTCGCATTGTAACACTTGTCTTCCAATATACTATAGTATTCAAATACCTTTGATTTGTGTAAAGTATTTACTATTTAGTATTCAAATACTTTTTGAAAGTATTCTGCCCAGCTCTGGCATGAACTGAATAGGTTCAAGCGTTTGACAGAGACAGAGAGGTGTGACCCCAAGGGGTCATTGGATTTGACCCATTTACGATAGCCTTATTACCTGTTATAGATCATCTGTGCAAAGTTTACACCAAATCGGTCCAGGGTTAAAAACAACCCACTTAACTTGAATTCTATGTATAATTTTTCAACAAACAATTCTTATTTGCGGTACCAAAATTAATTATTGTGTTTATTGATTAATGGTCGTATACTTGCATATGTTACGATCTGAATAAGAGTAACATGCCTAATTCTTCCCTTGATAGCATCTGCAGAAATATACGAGATGGGTCATTAATAATAGGGGCCTATAAATAGTAAGAAAAAAATACCTGTTATAAGTTTGAGCGGGGAAAATAGCGAAATAATGTAAAGCATCATCTCAAGTCAGTAATAAATTATTTCTAAAATTAATGTCTCGTCTACAAATCATAAATACAAGCACGTACAATAACTATTATCACTTCCTCCGGTTTTCCGTTCAAATCGGAAGTATTTGTCAACCATTCAATATAGCGTTGGAATCTTATTTTACAATAGATTTGTATCTATAGAATACAAAGCTTTTAGCTTGCTGTAGTTTTACGCAAAGATACATCCAAATGTTAATAGTACAAAATTATCTCGTTAACATCATAAACAATCACTGTCAAATATCTATGTTAGCAGCCCGTGTGTAGAGCATTCATAATTATTTTGTAAGATTATATTTACTAAGGAAAGCAGTACCTAATTAAATAGAAGCTAATTATTGGTCAGACCGCAACATTGTCGTCTGATGTCGGGGAAAAAAGTATAGTGTCGGAACGCATGATCATACAAGTGAAGTGAATTGCATTATTTCCAATAACTTAATCATTTTCACATAGTATCGTTGCAAAATGTAAAAAATAATAATTATAGTTTTATCCATAAAAGGCTTCAGATATAGTACATAGAAACGAATTCAGAACTGATGTAAACTTAGCTATAAACGTCTTGCAATACCCAAACTCGCACAAGTTGAAGTTGATCTTTACTTCAAATTTTAATCTCATCTGCCTTACTGGGACATGGTGCAATAATGATTGGATGAATACCTTGAATTTGTCAAACTAAAATATTATGTTAGCATAATGCAGAACATCGCGCAAATGTGGTTAGACTGCAAAATGTATCTGTTACCGACGTTACCGTCTACCAAGTGGTGATTTTAACATTTTTTGTTAGATAAAATTCAGGGGCTATCAAGTGAAGATGTCCAATCAGAGAGTGGTAATTGTTGGAGATTTTAATATATCCCATTTTTTGGATCAACTTGGCAATGACCCAAAAGTAACAACAATAGATTGCTTTGATGTCGAAATCATGCCACCAAAAATCAAGTCGCCAATACTATAGTGTAATTTTCCTCTATACTAATAGTCAACAAAGAAACTATAACTTTAAAAATGTCAGGTACTTTAACTTATATATAGCTTTATCTAGTATAGATCGGTACCCACTTTACTCTCATCAAAATGTCAATGTTAGAACTATACAGAATGATTTATGCAGTATTAGGGTACGGCCACAACGGAGCGCCGACCATCGCTCCGACGATAGCATCGCACCATAGAACGTGAACGATGGTCGACGGTCGAAAAAATACTAAACTCCATTCCATGGTACCAGGGCCTGACTCAGACCTATGAGCGGAGCGGGGATGGAGGCGCCAATATGCACTGAATGCTTTTTTGTGATTGATGCTATGGCGCTATGCTATGGTCGGAGCGATGGTCGGCGGTCCCTTATGTTCGCTCACTTAGATATACATGTTCCAAGATACAAATCTTCACTCATATGGGACACAACAGAAATAATACAGAATATAAGGTAAGTTGCTATCCCCAGACCTAGGCCTTCGCAGAAACTTCGTATGGCATCATCGGTTCCGACACCCTTCGCCGATTTAATTTGCTGGTGGACCGTGCACGTATAAAAGGAAGCAGACTGGTAGACGGAGAAACGCGAGTTAGTGCAAGCGCATCCGCACCCGCGAGTTCTCTGTGTACAGTGCAATCGGCCCAAAGTTCTAACCTCTTCGCAGACCCATCTAAAAAGTACAAAGATGTGCCTTCGGACATCGAGAAGACCTCCATTACAACTCCTTTCGGACTATTCGAGTTCCCGGTGATGACGTTTGGTCTCAAGAATTCGGCGCAAACTTTTCAATGTTTAATGAACCAAGTTCTCTTACACGTTCGCGTACCTCTACGATGTCTTAATAGCATCACCAAGCGAAACCACACATAAGGGCATCTCAAAACAGTGTTGCAACTATTTCAACAACATTGAATCACCATCAGCGTCGCCAAATGCAGAGTTTGGAGTGTCATCGCTCACATTCCCTGGAATGGACGTCTCTCGCGAAGATGTTACCAACTACCGTACGACCTTCATAGAGTACGAGGCATGTTCAACTATTATAGAAGATTTATCAAAAACGCAGCCACATCCCAACACGCACTCACAAACTTTACTCGAAGGCCCAAGCACACATAATGACAAACCACAAATCGAGTGGACAAGCCAACTCAATCAAGCACTCGAACGCTGCAAAAACGGGTTAGTAAATGCTTGGTCACTTGCTCACTTCAGACACGACGATTGACGATTCACTGCTAGTTTTGTCAATCGACGTATCTGACGTAGCATACTATTTTTGCAGAAATTAGTAATTAAAAAAAAATTATCAAAGTCCTCGTGTGAGATCGAGATCGATGCAACTTCAGCGCATTTTTGTGTGGCAGATCAGTGTTTTAATAGCCAGTGTTGACTCCACCATCAATAAGAAGGCTACCATATTCACGTTGTCGGTACCCGTTTCCCACTTTCCGCGTGCACCCGCAATTGCGTTTAAAGTTTTGACTCCACCATCAGTAAAATCTTGTTGGGGGCTACCACATTCCATTTTACGGTACCGACTTCCGACGTTCCGTTCACCCGCAATTCGCGTTTGAAGTTTCCACCATTAGATCAGTTAGATCTTGTCGGAGGCTACCACATTTCCTTTTTCGGTGCATACTTATATTACACCCACATTTTGGTGGATTTCGCTAAAAACCTTCCACAAAATAGTACTTAATTTTTGGGGCACTTCTCATTGCTCGAGCTTCTATTGGCGACAGGAGAACGAGAAAGAGAGACAGCGATTCGAGATTTACGAAACGTTAAGCCGCGTGACAAAATTCGCAACGGAAGGTAAAAGGGGCGCGAAGTTGAGTACCTCTCGAAGACGCGCAAAGGTCGTTAATTTCGCTCCTAGGACAAAAAAACAAAATTCCGCCAGGCAAGAGTTGTGCGCATCTTTCTGATGACAACAATTTGAAAAGAATCGGACCAAAACTGTAGTAGAAGATAGGAAAAAACTGAAAACCCTTCACGTTAGTAAACTACGCTCGAGGATGACGCCCAGATGTCACCAACCCCACATCTTGTAGCCCTGTCCCTAAGGTTGACAAATTACACGGCCTTGTAGATACACGTACACCCGTTGCCTTTCTACAAGTTCTTCTACGCGCCCACATTTGCTGCCAGCCAGCCAGCCAGCCAAAGTGAGATTAAAAGCTACTTTTCACAAATAAATTTGCAAAAATGCGCTAAAAAACGTAATGCTGTTATCTAATTTTACTATGTTTTGTTACATTTAGGCAGTGCGTAGATTTATTCGTACGCTACAAATATAACGGGTAACTAACGTTCCCTGTGGCCAATTTTGCATATTAAAAATTTGTTTACGCACGGAACTAAAATGCGTTCTATAATATCAGCGTACGTACCGTACAGTAGTGTCACAGATTGTCATGTATTTAACCCAATGAATAAAGAATACCATTCATTGATTTAACCTGATATGTAGGCAACCCGTCATACTCGATGTTCAGAAAAACGGCCGTTTTTTAATATATAGAACATAACAACCGCTGTCCGGAGTACCAGGAAAACATAACCCGCAAGAAGATTATACGGTCTACTGGCGATTTTTGTTATATCGGTTATGTCGGTTTCTGCATTTGTGGTAAATTTAACCTCAAATACCATTTCCATTTGACAGTTTTGACAGTTTCTCGTTTGCTATCGCAGGTAGTTTATTTAAAAAATAATGAGTGTGGGACACGTATTAAATTTTCCATTTTAAAAGTTAGGAGATTTACAATTAAATGCCGCCATTCCACCATGTAATGCGCACGAAGGTTAGTTTTTCATTTCATCTTCATATCATACTATTTACAGCATTTATTTAAATAATAAATATAACAGTAATGGAAACCCGATTTCGTGGCAAACATTTAATAGAGGAAAAAGCGAGAAAAGACACCAAAATGACTCCTAAATCGAACAAGGACTCCTTTAACGAAATTTCTGTAAGCGAAGTGAGTGACAGTGACACCTTAAATAACGTTAAGTACTAATTTCAGGAAGAAATTGAACTGGCAACAAGCGACTCGTGCCTATTACTATCAGCAGAAGAAGAAGATAAGGAGGCTACTGGATTAAATGAGGAGTCTCTATGGGCCACATCTTTACAAACGTTTATACCATTTTTATTGGCCGGTTTTGGAATGGTAACTGCTAGTCTACTGTTGGATACAGTGCAACACTGGCAAGTCTACAGGCACGTTTCAGAAGTCTACATCTTAGTTCCTGCCCTTTTGGGTTTGAAGGGCAATTTAGAGATGACGTTAGCTTCTCGGCTGTCGACCCACGCAAATTTAGGGAATATGGATACAGCACACCAACAGTGGAGCTTGATCGTTGGCAACCTCGCTCTCATACAGTGTCAAGCTCTTGTCGTTGGGTTCCTAGCGTCCTTCGCCGCAGTTGTCTTAGGATGGGTACCACGTGGAGAATTTAATACGGAACATGCGCTCTTACTTTGTGCTAGTAGTGTAGTGACCGCTTCCGGAGCAAGTTTCATACTAGGATTAGTGATGGTCGGCGTCATATTATTTTCTCGAAGGTTTAATATTAATCCAGATAATGTCGCAACGCCAATTGCGGCTAGCCTAGGTGACTTAACAACTTTAGCTTGTCTCTCGTGGCTCGCATCCTTGTTTTATAACAGTATGAACAATTTGCCTTTGTTGTCTATTATTGCCATAGTTTTGGCTGTCATCTTGATACCTGTGTGGGCTTGGCTCGCAAGCAGAAATGTATACAGTAGGCAGGTGCTAGATACGGGCTGGACTCCGGTTATTGCGGCAATGTTAATTAGTAGCCTTGGCGGATTAATATTAGATTTCACGGTTTCACAGTACAAGGGAGTTGCCGTATTTCAGTTAATAATAAACGGGGTTGGGGGAAACTTAGTCGCGGTACAAGCAAGCCGCATATCAACAGAACTGCACAGTAAAGCCACGTTAGGGCATTTACCAAAAGGTATGAAGGTTTGCTTGAACCCGTGTGCCACTTTCTGTGATAAAAATAAATCCAAGCACTCGAGTACGGCACGAATGTTACTGTTAATGGTGATACCCGGACATTTAATATTCTCATACACTATTAGTTACTTACAAGCGGGCCATACTTCGTTAACACCCATTTTTATGCTGGTGTATTTGACAGCAGCGATGTTACAAGTTTTTTGTTTACTTTACATAGCTCAAGTTATGATTGCGTGGATGTGGCGTGCTGGAATTGATCCAGACAATTCTGCTATCCCATACTTGACCGCGATCGGAGACTTGTTAGGTACATTTCTTTTGGGCGTCGCCTTTCAATTATTATTTCTCATCGGAGACCGTGATAGTGACGTTGGTGATTAATTTAGTTTTTGTTATGCTGAGAGAGGCTACTACAGGGTAAACATTTTTACATTTCGACACTACAAATTTTGTTCAATGTTTCATGGTAGCTTGAGGGAATAGGTGCCTATTAAACAAGTGGCCATTTCATTTTTTCAAAATTCTCATTCATTTTATAAATATACTGGGACCAAATTTTCTATTATGATTTTTTTTGAATCAATATTTTTTCCAAACGCATATTTTTTGCCCCATACAGAGTATAATTTTAATTTTGACACAGAAATTGGAAACACCCTATGAAAATATGGTCAGCATACAATCATGAGCCAGTACCACTTTGTAGCTTTAATTTTCTCATAATTCATTGCACAATGATTATCCATATTTTCGCTTGTCCTCCACTTACAGACTGTGACTTCCCAAATCCCTTTCATTAATTTAGTTATTGACCTCATTAGTTTAATTTAGTGTAATTGAAAATCTAGTCGTTAATTTACAGTACACAAGTGTACACTAATCGCTTTCGCCTTAGTGTCCTTTTGTTCTTGCCTAATTAGTATGTAGATCCTTAGCAATTATTGCTGTCAATACTGTGGTTCTTTCAATTTTTTGACATTGTATTTAACTGTAATTTATATAGTTTACAGTTTTAATTTAAGAGTATGGTACTTTTATTATTTAAGTATAGGAGATTACATTTTGTAGCAACATTTTTAAAGTACCTAAGTGTTAATGACTTGTGTGATATGTATATAAATATCCTATATGTAAGAACATGCCATTCATTCAAAAATGGTGCTATTTTCTATATAATAAATAAAACTTATGTTGACAATTAACATATTAGTTTACTTCATGTCCCAATGATATTCAATAGCTCTGGAGCATCAGAAAATGTTTTGTCGTACCCAAGTAACACAAAACACAAGTGTTATACCCATAGTTTTGTGCTATTTATTACTGACGAAAAAAAATATGCTACTCGATCGACATCAAGTTAAAAAGATAATTGGAAACGATGTACGAAAAACGCATTTCCACTTGCATTCCTTTCCCATTTGTAAGATGCAACTTCTGTTAAAATCCGGGCACAAATAGGAAAGTTAGAATCCTACCGTACAATTTTAGAATTGGTTTACAAATACTGAATGTGTGTCTGGGCTCTAGGCACAGATTTACGTATATCTGTGGTCTGGGCATGCGCAATAGTTTTTAAGTGTTTTTAATCGGATAGAATTGCGCATACAAATTTATTTAATCTGGCACATATCTGGCATTAGTTTTACCTTCATTCGAGATGCGTACCTACATACAACATTTCATTTAAATATCTTCGCAAATACAAAAATTGGATTGCGCAAATACAAAAGTTATCGTGCACACGGAGTCACGGACAGACAGACCGCAATACAAAATTATAAACGATCTCGAGGATCGTTAATAAACCGCAAAAGTGTAAAATTATGGTACATACATAAGAAAAATTGATTTTTACCATAACTTTTTTCGTAACCGGCATAGAAAAAATTCCTTGGTGGGAAACCATAACGAACCAAATAGCGAAAAAAGTAGAACAATATAGCTCTTAAGATAAAAAAAAACTAGTAGCGACCCAACGGCTGTATAGGAACGGACGGCCAAAGAGTGGCCGCAATGTTTTTAATTTTTGTCGTAAAATGCGCTAAAAAGGGTACGGCTAAGTTATTTATTGCTGAGGATTGCACATTTTCTACTCTTATGCAGGGACAGAAAACCAAAGGGCCGATCCGTATCCGTACAGCCAACTTCACGCGGCCGTCTCTACCGATGTAATTTGTTCCGCAAGTAACACATCATTTTGTGATATTTATATATTTATATGAAGGACCAACAAATCCCCCTTTGCTGGGAGGGAGGGGGGTTATTCCTTACCCCCAGATTCTAGCTGTTCCCCAAAATGCTTGGAACGCTTAACACAATCATGATATTGCCTTGGGAATTATGTAATCTACTACCTCCGCAGAAAGTGAAAAATGGAAGGTCTTCCTTAAAAAATATAGAGACGTGAAAGTGGTAAACGTTTTGAAAATAAATTAGCACCGGGGGGTCTGGAATACCCCTCAGGAAAAAAGTGCCATTAAATATTCCCTTACCTAAATTCTTTGTATAATGGGGGGTATTTCGTATCGTCCAGACCCCCGGTGGTACATTTTCCCTCAAAACGTGCAGCTCTAAGGACTCTCATAACACACAAGTGTTATACCCATACTTTTGCGCTTTTTATTGCTGTTGATAAAAAATATATTGTACTATATACGTCTATACTTGATATTGAGATTTTAACAAATAAGTGGGTAGTTATAGCGTAGGGGAGACAGAAAACTCAAAGGACCGGTGCATTAAAATACGTCGTTTTTTTCAAAAAGTAGTCCAGTAAATATTATATTAGAAATCGCAGTTGTCATAAAACTTAGGCCGCGACACTGCAGTGTTAGGTACTAGGTAACCATGAAAGGTACTAACATGTCTACTTCAAACGGTCAAAGTTAAAGTTTTTTTGTGTTAAAAGAAATCGCTCCGTCAATTTTGAAAATTAATTCGATCAAAGCTTGTTACTTGATTTTTTTTAATGGAGCTACAAACACATTTATTCGCCAAAAAATCTCTCAACATCCCAAACTACACCATTTACAGACGAGACCGACCGATAGCAGGGCTCAAGGTACCGCCCTAATAGCCAATCGCTGACTGATGCCATACATATAGAGGGTATTTCCTCTATGCTGATAAACTTACCCTTGAAGCCACCGGCATCGAAACCAATCAATTGGGCCATCTTACCAGCAACGCGTCGTAGTTGGGCTACCGCAGGCCACGCAACAGCTTCATCTCACAAGACCTCGACAACATTATGGTACTTTGCAGATCACACCGCATCCTTGTAGGAGACCTAAACGTGAAAGATCTCACCTAGAGACCAATACCTCCGGACGATCACTGTAAACTCATTCCGAAAGGAGAAGATACGATGTCATCGCTCCCGACCACCCAACGCACATGTCGGCCTGGCGACCCTGCGCTCCAACCATACATTTTCGACGTGACGGTATTGCACGACGATTCCGTACCCGTACAAGTTCGACGTAGGTAGTTCAGAATTGGAGATCTGACCACCCTTCCATTATAATGACTCTCCACCCGTTACAATATCCCCGAGTACCATACAAATCACGAATTAGAAAAAATATCCCATCCAGACATCCGCACCTCGGCCGACTTAAAAGAAAAGGTACAGCTATACTGACAACCAAACCCGGTCAAGAAGGCGAGCCAGCTCCCCCAGTAGGTATCTCAAGAACGAAATGAGAGAGACTTGTTCGGAGATGGCAACTCACCCAACATTGGGAAACAGGTCAACGCCAAGTAGGTCGCGTCCTCAAAATCGATATCCAGAAATATAACAGGTCCTGGAACGAGCACTAAGGAAACCATGACCATCATTCTTCAACAAAGACTCGATAAAGCACCCGGAGTTGACGGCATAACCTATCGAGCCCTGCAGAACATCACGTATACTCGAGCTCCAGCTTACCGGAAACGGCAATAAGGAGAGTACAAAAGCAACCATAGACCATATACGCTACGTTGAACACGCAGCTGATGGCTAAGACCCTATCTATATAGTGTTCACGAATCGCAGGACGACGGATTTGACGAAACTACGCCGTATGGGCAGTATCTCGGAGTCATAATATCAACCGGCGCGACTAACATTCGTCCAACACGCTGCCGACACTGTTGCCAAAGCACGGACTATATCCTCTGTTAACATCATCAGGGCTGGTGTACCATCGCTTGCGTTTTTGGCAATAGTATGAAACCATCAGGATATCCAGACTCAATAATCTCTCGTTACCAAAGACCATCCAAGACCTGCGCAGAAAGTTGGCATGTTCAATTATTATAGATTCGTCAAAAAAACCGAAGAATTGTGTATGGAACCACTATGATGGAACACTCTCCATGTCCGTCAACTTGACAAAAGCGGACCTAGTTCTCTTCACACGAAAAAAAAGATAGAGTTTTCGAACTCCCCTGCTATTCTAAAAACGCCTCCAATTTTCAGTCAGTAAAATTACTGCGCAATTGGCAGACTTTAGGGCCCATCCTCAAAGACTGTCTTGTAGCTGATGTACACTGCCGTGAAAAGACCTAATGGTTCAATTGTCTCGTAGAATCAAACTCTTCGCAACCATAGCACTTCTTAATCATGTGCAAAGACACAAGACTTGCGAATTGCACAGCCGTCATGGAGCCCCTTCTGGATTTGCCTCCACGTGAGAGAGCAGGCCACTCTTGGCATCGTTGCGTCTGAAAAATAAGGGATTGTTAAATAACAGAGGTAGCAAGGGGCCCCTATCGAATTCTGGGCGAAGCGATTGCCTATCCCATACTATCCTAGAAGGGCGATTGGAGTTCACTCACTCACTCAATTCATTTTAAGGAAAAACTATCACATCTTTTTTTGATGGGGCGTGACACCCCAACCAGACATTCATTTTCACGGATGGACTAGAACAATGAAAGGAACAGGCACTGGTATTTCTTCCATATCACCCACAACCACTAGTAGACTATAGTAGGCTCTTCCGTTTACAGTGGAAACAACCAACACCCAAACCCACCACATGATGCTAGATTGTCGCCATGCGAGAGAAGCCTTCAAAGGACCACCTCGTAGCCTAGTGCAATTTTGCACAGGGCTATAGGAAGAACGTGAAGTTACTCATGGGCAGGGGCGGACTGGGTACTTACGGGCCAGGTGGAATTGCATAGGTTACGGGCCATTAAAGTATTAGTGTAGTAATGAAAGTGGCGGGGGGGGGGGGGGGTAGCTCTGCGGTGCACCACAAAAACATTTTTTGCTTCATTTTAAAGTACTCCTTTTTCGGAAATCAATTACAATACAGGTTTTTTTAAATTGCAGCTGATAATTAAAAGTAACAAGATATACAATCCAAACGAGGCGCGTCGCCTATCATTGTATTTCATCACTTTCATGCTACGACAAAAAAGATAAATTCATTGTAAAACACTTCAATTAAAACAGAATTTTTTAATTTTTTAACAACCTAACATCAACCCCAATTAGAGAAACGTGTTCATAACTTATTAATAGTGCAAGAAACTAAATACAGCACATACTAATAAATTTCCAACGGGCCATTATGACGTACAGGCCAGGTGGCAATCGCCACCCGCACCCCCGGGCCAGTCCGCCACTGCTCATGGGTATACTTTACACAAACACATGCACCCCAAGGGTTTGGTAGAATGACCATCTTGTAGAGCATGTTACACAGACGATGAGACGGCCACACCACACTTTGTGAATGTCCCACTCTAGACAAACTGGGCCGATCCATGTTGGGATATCCTGGCTGGAGATGGGCGACTCTAGTCAGAGACGCAGCGGTACACGTGGACCTTGATCACCCTCCTATCGTAATCCACAATCCAAACCAGCTGACTTGTTATCAGTCCAGCTGAGGACTCCAACACTGCACCGTCGCCGCTCTCAGTTCTCCGTCAGCCGAACTTCGGCATGCAACGTACCTGTATATATTGTAAATAAATTGTTCAAATACACTATAGCATTTTATTCAGCGCAGCTCGCTAAGTCTCTCGCTTGCAGTGGGAGAGCTCTTCTACACTCCACCAACGTCCACCCATCGGTGTATGTAACTACCGCACCCTCGTAGAATCTGCAATCTGTGAACCGAAACAGCTCTGTTTATTCAAAAAATAGGATATCATAGAAAAAAGTTTACTTTTTTACAAAAAAAATTCTATAGTCAAAATTTAAAAAAATATTTTTATACAAGTGAATATGATAAACCTGCACTTGATAACGTAGAAAATTAAGTATCTGTACATAAAGCAATTCAAGTGACGAATAATCTTCATCATTTCGTCATTTTCGTACTGATTTAGATGCAGGCACTCATAATACATATGTTTATACTCCTATCTCCTATACGACTGAAATACAAAATTGCGAAAACTTGTCTCGGCCTTACTGTACAACTTAAACGAAATATATATTAACATCAATCACTGTATTAATATGAACATCATACTTTTAGAATATATGTATATCTTGAAAATGTTGATTGCACACAATGATTTAACACAGACAGGTCGAGGATGCGGGCTCCCTCAGGAGTCTGATGGTGCTTACATATCTTGTTCATGAAAAAAATACAGTGATTTATATACAAGATAAATAATGGTAAAACAAGTAATTTGCTTCTGTACCTACAAATACAGATTTTTTACTATTTACATTATTGCGGTCCAAAATGATTGATCGATTAATCAAAACATTGCAATTGGGACATTTGCATACTTGCTTTACCATTACTCATTAAGCCTAACTGGCTTTGGAGATCAAATTTACAATCACATTAAGTTATGACCCAGTAGAAGATGCCATACTATTATAAATTTAATATATTATACATAAAAAAATGCAACAGAAAATCGGTGCTGAGAAAATTAGTGCATTAATAATTTTTTTTAAGTACTGAGTATGTACATACGTATTCTCAAAAATGTGCAAAATAACTTAGTGAAGAAACTGTCTTTATATTATTTATGTCAACAGTACTATTATTAATACATATACACATGTATGTTAGTCATACATTTGTTGGTTTCTCTAAAATTCTCATACCTTTTTACTTCAAAAACAAGAATTTATGTCACCTCATTTCGGATCAATTTGATTTATGATCAGTGTTCAATACTGTATATTCTAATGGACCAACTTGATATTATTTCAGGCTTTTATTTGACTGCCATAGAGGTGGTTTTGTACATCAGGTGTAAATCATTCTTTAATAGCTTCGTGGTATTAAAAACATAAGCGAGAAGGTGAACTCTTTTGATTGTTCATCTCAGTACATACTCACTCATAAATACCAGCGTTATGTAGATTTAATAAATATGAAATAAATAATGCTCTCTCCAAGTGACTATCACCCATAATCTATACATAAGAAATTTTGAGACAGCGTCTTTCAACGCAAAGACTCAGAAAAAGAAACAAAATAAATAATAAAACGTAACACAAATAAAGGGCTGCCTCAAAATCATTGGGTATATTTACAGGTCAATGCGCGGACGATATTGCAGGATTAATGGTGGATTCTGAAACCTCCATCGGGTAACGTAGACAAATTTCAAAGTATGATCCTTTCCTAGCAGTTCATCATTGCACAATATATCAATCTACAAAACAACATTTTAGTGAGACCACCGACAAATAATGTCGCCACACTTACATCTCTATACTTTTCCATTCCATTTAAAACTTTTTTCGCCACCAACTTCTTCAGGTGGAGTATTGTAGTTTGCGCGGAACATCGAATAAACCTCCGTTTAAGAGTTTTTAAATTAGAACTAATACACTCCAAGCAAACGTTCACTTGCTCGTCTTGCCGATGATAATCCGATTCTGCGTGCACATCGCTGGCCGGCTTATCTTCGACGATATCTCCCGGATTAGGAGGTATGTCTTTTGGACACGGTAAGCCACGGAGTCTATAAAATTCACGTTCACGATTTGTTTCATCTGAAAAAAAAAAACACAACAACTAAACCTAAGTGCTTATCGTTTTGGAATGCTCTTTAGGGTAAACAACATTAGACAGTGTCACATACCTAGGACCACATGAAAGTCTAACTTTCAGGACCTTTGACGGTCGGGCGGGCGACCCAAATATACCAAGTTTCAAGACCTTAAGACGTTCTATTATTTATTTTATTGTGCACACAGACCGATGAATGGACGGACACATTTGACCTTTTGACCCCAAATTCAATAGGGTTCTTACCTGAACACAAGATATAAAAATCTGAAGTTCTAAAAAGTAGGAATCATGCTTGCTAGATGCAAGGACACAAATGTACCAGGGATTTAAAAAAGTACAAATGCAAGATTAAGAGTGCAACGAATTTAAAACTTTTGATATTACTTGATATTCCTGGGTATATCCCGTTGAACTTTCAGATTTGGATTTATTCTATTACATTCGGATTTCAAAATTTTTTGAAAATCCACATTCGGTAAGATTTTGGAGAACTCCATTTTTAGCAAAACCTTCCAGGAATCTCGCTATTTCTGCCAGTAGCTAACAAAAGGATCTGTAAAGATCATCATAAGAGTTCTGCATTGCACATAGATTTTTTGATGGGGCATACTTGTTAAAGGTGCTTGGGCAAGACTTTGGGGATCTGGTGCAAAGACAACTATTGTGGGGGATTGACCACTTTCCATTCCTATCATTGAGAGGGTAACTTTCAGACGACCCAGGAAGACCAATTTCCAAGTCTGAACAAAATATTCGAATTATTTGGAAAAAATGCTTCCGATTTAGTTCCACTCTTTTTGACATAATTAATGACACATCCTGCATAATGCACATATGAGCTGCCAATGCTGATATCACCAAGTAAATGTATATGGCGGTATCAATGGATCCCTATAAAAAACAAACTTATTCTCACATTTTAAAAATAAAACAAGATGAAAAGTCTGCCCATATGTGCAAATGGCTACACTTTGCATACGTGCATTAATCTTGCACAGAATAGGATGAGATGAAAAAACTCACTTTTTTATTTCGAAATTGTAATAGCCTGAAAAGGTTGGGGATTAGATAAATAAAACAAGAAAAATTCTTTTTCAAAACCGGTTGACGCAGAGAGCCCAAAAGTTGACTATTGAAAAAATCAATTTTTTTTCATTATAAAAAGAACATAAAGTTTAATTGTACCACCCCTTACGCTGATCATCAATTCCATGTTGTGACTAATATGAATAACTATAGACCAATCTCAATCATGACCATTTTTTCAAAAACCATAGAAGGAATTTTAAATTCACAAATGGTCGCTTTCTTTGAAGAAAACAAGTTTTTCTACGACAAACAATTTGGTTTTTGAAAAGGACGTGGAACATCCAACAACCTCTACACTTGAAGGATTCGAGAGAGGTCTATATGACTGTGTCGAACATAAAACGTTGGTAAACAAGCTAAAGCATCTTTATAATTAAGACTCAGGCTGTTTATTACTAGCATCGTCCACAGAGCGTTTCTTTAAATGATCCAGTCATATTACCACTTGAGCGAATATCTCGAAAGATGATTTTATTGTTTATGTTTATTGTTCATTGTATGCTTTACCTTAACATTATAATTTATGTAAAATTGACACATTGTTACGTACGTTCTGTTCTTATACAAGTATATGGAATGTATTTCGTGACAAATAATAAATATGATATGATGATATGATATGATCTACTCTTGAGCAGATTGCCTATTAAAGGTGGTGTACCGCAAGGATCAATCTTGGGCACCATCAACGATTTGCCTTCATGTTTACCACAGAATGTCACATGCCTCCTTTATGCAGATAATGCAACGCTTCTTATCTCAGACAGGGATGTCAAAACGGCCTTCAAGATCGCAAATGACAACATGCATCTAATTAATAAACCCATAAAAAGCGGCAGAGCACCTCGGTGTGACCCCACAGTCATTGGATTTGACCCATTTTCAATTGGCTTGTTACATGTGGTATATATGTTAACTGTGCAAAGTTTGAACCGAATCGGTTCAAGCATTTGCCAGAGGCAGAGAGGCGTGACCCCAAGTGGTCATTGGATATGACCCATTTTCAATAGATTTGTTACGTGTGGCACATAAGTCTACTGTGCAAAGTTTCGACCGAATAGGTTCAAGCGTTTGGCAGGGACAGAGAAGCGTGATCCCATGGGGTCATTGGATTTGACCCATTTTCGATAGGCTTATTACTTGAGGAATATAAGTGTGCAAAGTTTCAACCAAATCGGTCCAAGCGCTTGACAGATATTGTGTTCACGGACAGACGGACACCATCAAATGCCCTATAAATCTTGCATCGCATTAGCATTCTATGGGCACTTTTTTTTGAGAATCTAAATCTGTTATCAGAATTTCTACAACACACTGAAGAAGCTACAACGTGCTCCTGTTTCTTATGGGCGCCAGATTTGATTTTTTGCAGAATGAGATAGACAAAAAGAAGAAAAATAATGACATGTCACACTATAATTTTCCATAAATTTACAAGAAAAATTTCAACATCAAATGTTTTACATTCATTACTCAACAAAACATCCACGGGTAACTAGATCTTGATGAATGAACATGGCTATGATGGTGATGCATTCAAATGAATTTCTTTTTTTTTCCTCTAGGTATCTCATTTTATAAAAAACCAATATGGCGTCCATAAGAAAGTGTAGCTTCTACCTCATGCGTGTTATGGAAATTCTGATAACAGATTCAGATTCTCCAAAATCCATTTCCGACCGTTTAGATTTTCAGTTTTTCGGTGCTATCTCAGTTACCTATTGCCAAAGATTTTTGAAAAATTTCAAATGCGTTTTTTAATTACAAAAAGAGATCTTTACAGAGAACCTAATGGTGAGCCACGATTTTGAACAACCCTGTACACCTATCAGTAGGTTGAGAGCCCATCGAGAAAATATATGTTGCCAACGACACTGAAGTTTTTGCACTAACAACGTAATCAGAAAGAGAGCAAGAAAACAAACATTGGTTTCCTTGGATACCTTGCCATATTTGAATCATTGATTTATTTTATTATTTAATTTAATCCACTATTGTGTGCATATGATTGGTAAAAAAGGACAGAGTGCCTTTTAAAATAGTAGCTCGAAATCTGAATTGCATTTCCCGTGTAACTCAAACTTCGGCACGAGTTACCCTTGGAGTCGAGGTTTCGTGCATTTTGCATCACCCACAAAATTATCACTACAAAGGGTACGTCTAAGAGAGTATTATTATTTGATATTTTCGAGAATATTTTTGACAATGAGGTAGCGGCGTTTAGTTTATTTTATGGATTGAGATATATGAAAAATTTTCAAAAAGGTACCTCCGTAATTTTTAGTGCTATCAAAAATGTTTCAATCCCGGTTCCAATATAAGTATTCTATTTGGGTCAAACTAAAAGTAACATGATCAAAATTTGAAAATATGCGTTCGCGAGAGATACGAGGGAAAATCCAAAATTTGTCAATTGCAGAATGAGCCACTTAGTTCAAAGAGACATGAAAGCATGTATTTTTTAAATAATCTGCCGTTTTCAAAATAAATATATGTTAGCTAAACAATTACCGGACCTAACCCCATTTTTTAAATAGAACATCCCATATATTTTAATCTAAAAAGATAGCTCAATTTTCTGTTTCAAAAGTGATTCCAAAAATTTCCAAAAGATTAAAAACAGAATTTAAAAAATGTATTTATCTTTTTAATTTTTTGAAAAATCTTTTGAATCTTTTTGAACCAATATTGAATTTTTTTTAATTTCTTTAGTGTTATATTTTGTAGAATAAAATATACAGGGTGTTCCACTAAAAAAAAATGAGGCTAGGTCTGATAACTTTTTTACCTGACCCCACATATTTTAAAAATGGCAACAAAATTTCTGAAAAGAATATGGTAAAACTCTTAGAGAAAGAATAAACGATAAACGATGATGGTAAAGTGAAGCAATAATTTGTCTGCCCATCAGTAACATCGCCGTTGAAAATACAAACGACTGACGGAGTAAACAAGATATACACTTCTCTTTCTCTCTCTAAGATGTAAATGAACTTTTCTTCCCACCAAGAATATGGCCGCCACACAACAATTCCCTTCACTTCCATAGTCTAAGTTAAAACTTAGCTAAATCAGAAACACCTTCTCGAGTAATGAATTTGGTCACAGCCGGATACTAGATTTTCGTGATTTCCGACATGGTGTTAAACAAGTGAAAAAATCATGTTTTGTTTTCCAAGGCTAATAAGACTCGAAGAATCGTGTTATGAAAGTTTTAGGAATCCCTGGATCTACATCAGGCCCACCTTCGTACAATGGTATCTGGAAACACTGGAACTCATAGCCGTTGATGTTACAGTGAAGTGAAGGGTAAAGGGAATTGTTTCAAGAATTTTAACTTGGCAGCTTGTAAAAAATCATTTATGCAACCTTTAGCCCCTCGCTCTCCGCTTAAAGTTGAGAACCTGAAACTTTAAAGAACCAGAGATAGGGGTGGAATTATCCAGTTGTAAGAGAAAGTACCTGTAGAACGACTTTTTATTCTAATATAAATCTACAACAGTACCAGATGGCTATGGTCACTCTATGCAAATGCCTTGCAGCTCAACTCACATTATGTGGTAACACAATTTGAATCATCGAAAATGACAGTGAGATATGATCTGCAAAACTTATTCTTATCAAGCATCAATTCTACTTCTGCTAAACGATCTAAGAACCCAGGAAATTCTCACCCCTTTCTTCACCATATTTTACTTGTCCATCATGCAGTTTTCATTTTGCCATTGTTAAAAATTAAGAGACTTACGAGATTCAAGTACAAATCAGTAAAAGGGCATAACCCTAATGCGTATAGCACGAAACCTTATCCACATACACAACACTGCTAAAGATTGAAACAAGGACTATGTGGGGGGTGCCTCCAACACTCAATTAGTAGAAGTATACACTATCGACCACTCATTCCTTACCTTCGACTTAAACCATTAGGTACCTACTCTCCAAACTCATCCATTGCATTTGTCAATACTATCATTGAAATTTCTCAGTTAAGTGGAATCCAATGTGCTTCTCTTGTATTACAACTAGTAATATAAGTTATTGATATGTGCTTGGCTGACAACGAAGTAATACTACCGTCCTTCAGTAGATTTAAGCTAAAAGTGGATACTTACTTTTTTGGAGATCGGGAACCAATTTGTAAACTATGTCTTGCATTGTACGATCGAAACTGATATATTGCAACGGATGTGATTGATGTATGACAATGGTGCATGTCGGGCATGTGTTGTTCTCTTCCAAATGCTTAACTAAGCAACTTTTGCAAACTGTAATAAGTGTTATATGAGAAATAAATCAAACAAGTAGTGTTACACTTACAGGTATGTAAACATTCGGTTACTGTTGTTGCATCTATGAAATACCCGCGGCAAATTTTGCACGTTATGTGACTATTTAATGTTTTTAATTTGATTCTTCTTTCCATGATCAATTTCATACAATTATACACTATTTTTAAGATACACTGTAAACTTAACCACATCACCGTCAATACACAACATGTGTTTCTTTCAACTGAATACATTAAAGAGGTCGAGGAAGGGGTTGTGATCGGTTTCTTGCGGTATATTCCCAAGTTTTCACAAGCGTAACATAGATGCCGCACCTATCGTTCTGCACACTGTACAATCGAGCACCAAAGTAATGACATACTACTTACCTTTGATTATTATAATTCAAAGCTACTTACCAAAAATGACGAGCTATAATCCTCCGGCTCCGTTCCAGAAGACATGGACAACATGTTCAATTCAATGCACTTAGTACCCTAATCTTAATTTCATCACTGCTTCAGCTCCAGCTTTGCCTCACGTCTATCATCGGAAGAAACTCACCATGTATAATGATAATAATAATTTAAATAATGTCCATATAGACATTATATGTCCATTATAAAAAATAGGTAATCCCTTTGGGATCCACCTCGCAGTTGAAACGCAATGGTTTTTAAAGACTCAAAAAACCTCTTAAAGGTTCCGCTCCGAGAGACTCTTTTGAAAGACTCCTTGGCGCTCTTACAGAATATTAGCGACTCTTAACAGCTTTAAAGGACTCATAAGATCTTGCAAAATAAGTCATTTAACACTCCCTTAATTTTTACAAAAAATCGTTATTAACGCACAGTTCCGGTAGAAGGTTTCTCAGGTCCGTGAATAACGAATATTCTAGAAATCCCGAGGCATCGAGGCGGCATGAAGGATTAGTTATCGGCGATAAGAAACTAAAGCGGATATGATACATTCTTTCCGGATAATATGGCGTGTTTGTTCTATAACATTCGGAAGCGTTTGGGAGTACTTGGAGAACATTCTAGAAATATTGTTGTAGTACTTCCGATTCCACCGAGAGCAATACGCCTTTAAAATTGAACCTTGTCGAGATACCTCTTTCCAGGTTGGCTTTCTCTTTTCCATTTCCCGGATGATGCGACTTGAATGACAGTCTACGAGGCACAACTTGCTCGCTTCTTCCCTTCGACCCGTCATAGTTTTCCCTGGTTATATGGTAACTGTACTGTCGGGACCATTTCTTCTTCTATGCAGGTTTTCCCCTCTATTATTCTCTGCTCTATTAGGTACTCATTTCTTCTAGATTTTCATCTTCTTCATTTGTCACGCGAGACGTTTTCTTTGCAACATCAAACTCCAGAGAATTCGCCAAACCCTCGATTCCAATTTCTCATGCCGCGTATAAAGACCATCGATAAATGTCTGCACCGCCAGCTGCTGTATAAAGGTTTCTGTGGAGCCGTAAGATACGCCAATCTTATCAATCGGGATATATCGGCTTCAAGTTCTTAACAAAATCTCGCCCGCTCTTTGCGTTCGGTTCTTTAATTGGGCGTAATACATCGCAGCTGCGGTAAATGTTTATCTCCATACCGATTTTCTAACAGTGATACAATTTGCTCAAAATCTTGTATCGCTTCTTGAATCGTACACCTCTTATTTCTTGCGGGCCTGCTTCCATTGTGGCGTCCATGGCTTGTTGGCGAGCTTCGATTTTAGCTCTATTTTAGCCGTAGCAGTAATTTTTGTTTATCACTTACAATTTATATAACATAGCACGAGCGCATCGATGTTGAAACTAACTCAAAACACAATTCAATTTGCTTATACCTTTCTGTATAACAAATAACATCTTTCTAGAATGTCCGAATGCTCCCGAACGCTTCCGAATGCGAGGCTAAACGCCCCGGGAATCACGAGCTCCTAAAGGTGCTGCCTAAGACGACATTTAACCTATTTTCCACATTGTCTTTTAATTAAGATAAATGAAATTAAACTATCAAAATTGCTATACGACGTATGTGTATGAAAATTATTATGTGTTCATATGATCATGAATTTGTAATCAAAGGCCCAGTAATAGAATATAACCGGGGCTTGTGGAGGCTGTGCGAGTCTGTAAGCAGGCTAAATCTTTTGGGTGCCTAAATTATTGACAAAATACAATCATTCGTCATATTGAAACGCACGCACCCATAAAACCAAAAAGCCCAAAAGAACTAAGGCATATATTCGTTGTCAAAAAACAAATCTGGCCACGATCTGATCACTAACATAGTCCTGAAAACCTTCATAAATAACACAATCAAAACTATCCACTAGGTCCTAGGAAATTAAAAACTGTCATTGTTAGACCTTTGCAATTACTCATGTTTAAATTAAATCTTATATCATTGCCATGAATAACAAATTATTTATTGAACTGGTATACATAATAAAATAAGAAATTTTAGGTACTGATGGTTGTTCATTAAACAAAAATTGCCCCATGTTTCTGTATTAAAAAAAAGAACTTTCATTTACACGAAACACTAAGGTGATTTCTATATTTTTGTTATTTATAAGTTTTACTCGTCTTTGTTTTTTTCAGGAACTGGAACTGTGATATATCTATATACTTACCTTAATTTACGATATATTCAAATACGTGTTTATATCATTTTGTTTGTGAAGATTGACTTGTCCAATATCCTTAATCTGTGATTTACTGGATGGAAATAAATATTATATTATATTATTAAGGTCCATCGCTAATACCATTAGTCAATGCTAATACGCTTTAATTTCTTATAGAGATATGTTTTATGTAAAAGTACTATAGCTTCTGATTTATATTGAAAAAAAACATAAACAAAACCCTTTTTTTGAATTAATATAAAAAATAACATATTTCCGGGTCAAAATTTTGGAAGAAATTTTTATGGGGTCATAATGATAAAAAGAAGCGATTGACGAAAAAAACTTCCCTAGGAATTATTTCATTAATCGCACAATTTTATAGGTATTGTAGAAAGATCGCCACACCGCAAGCGTCTCACTCTACCGCGTTACAGTATACGCGCCGAAATGAGATGACCTGAAATCATTTAACTGCGTCTGCTACGAAAATGCTACCGTCTTTTTAAATTTTTGCACACATTTTAATACAACTTTTAATCTGATACTCTATCACGTGATTTTGAGTGATTTTCGACGTCTTTAGTTGCGTCTGCCTTAAAAATGCTACAATTACTGCCTTCTTCTCCTTTCTTTTCAGATAAGGACGCGCGAAACGGAATCCACCACCATCACCCACATTACGACGACCCGCAACGCACCAAGAAGGACACGAGCTGATACCTGCACAATATATATAGCATAAACATATATAATAATCATTGTTGCATTGTACTACTAACCAAGAGCTGAAGGGGACACAAGTTCTGAGCAGTCCGCCATTTATTCACCACTAACCCCATTATTGTATCATACCCATAAATTGTAAATAAACGTGTATTGATTGATTGATACACGGTCCTATTGACTGAATGTCAAGAATGCTTTTAACGTAGCGGATTGAAAACTCATTGTAAGAAAGTTAAAAAAAAATAGATAAATACCTGCTGAATGTATTAGAGGATTACATACGTAAAAGGACTAAGTATTAAGATTAATAAAAACACAACAGCGGAAGTGTTCCACAGAGGTTAGTTCTTGGACCGACCCTGTGAAAGATTATACGACAAAGGGCATAAAAATCGTGTGTTGTACGGACGACCTAGCCATACAGGCGCGTACACAAAGTGTTGGAAAACTCAACAAGAACAAGAAATTCTCTTATTTTCTTACACTTCCATTCTATCACCCTTTACAAATTTCATTGTCTTCAATTTTTCGACATTTCCATTCCTTTTCTTTTCCAGTACCGTTCCAATCTCCCCATCATTTCCTTTGTTACCAATAATACTGTCATCTGGGTAGGCCAGGCGGGATCATATCTTATTCCTTCTTCTCATCACAATTCCTCCACTTACCCTGTTTTAATATTTTCTCCATATCCCTTATGTAGAAAGTAAATAAGGTTCGACTAAGTGAGCATGAGCATCTCTGTCTCAATCTTGATTGTTCAGTACACTTCAGACTATTTACTTGATTCTGTTCTTTAAATTTCTGTCTATTTTTCCATCCTCCCATAATTTCCTATACTTTTTCCCTTTATACTCTGTCAAACGCTGCCCTTACATCCGTGAAAAACAATCACCATTGAGCTCTTTCTTTTCAATTCCTTTTCCGTCACTCTGTATAATAGATATATACAGTCGATCCGTTCCCCTCCATTCTCTAAAGCCCAATGGTGTTTTCTCAAACATCCCATTCTCTGTGTAATCTTGCATTCCATACAATTACGTAGATTCTATACGCCATCGTGCTTCTCCTATAATTTTCCATACAGTCCTTATCATCTCATCTATTATCGGCACTATTACCCTTTCTTTACATTTTTCCAGTAGTCATCAGCTTCTCCTTAATACTATCTGCAGAGCAAATTTCGTCCCTCCCTGCCGCCTCTTTTCAGTTTTTCTTCAGTTTATATTGTTAGTCCATATCTTCTCTTGATATCTCATCTCCTTCCCCCTTCCTCTATAGTACCTTCATAAAGTGCTGGTTCCAGTCCTCTATTCGTATTTCTCTCCCACTAAATGTCTTTTCCTCTGTTTATCATCTTCCAGAAGTTGAACTTAGATGGATGACAAGAGAATAAACAGTAATTGTAATATTGAAATTTTATTTCTCTTTACATTAATTATCACAAAAAGTGGTTGAGGAATAACAATAAAAGCTTTTTAAACTGTAGGATAACGTACAAGTTCATAAAAAGATGGGTACAGCACCAGCGCCTCTCACAACCCATGTAAATTCAATGATTTACAAATTTTTATAAATATAAATATCTGGGTCACCTTAAGTGATCACAAGATGACGTGCAATTCTGCAAGCAACAACAAGTACATCTCATTTGTATAGACAAATGAAAAGTCCCCTGAATTAAAGATGCTGTACCTAAATGAGGTGCTAAACCAACGATCAGTTTAATCGCAGGTTAACGAGTTTTACTTACTTTTAAGTAACTACATACCTATTGGCAGGTAACAGTAATTGCTCTTAAATATTATAATAAATTATTTGGACAACATACACAAAATTTAAATACTCAAAAAGTCAAATAACTAATAACATTGCAAAATAGGTTGAATTATATATCACATGTACTTTGAAATATAGGTAATCATTTTTTGCTTTTTTTAAATTCAAGTAGCGAACTCTCATACGATAGAGTGGACGGTAAAGTAAAAGATTAGAAACAAAAATGCACTCGCTTACTTAATGCTTGTCTGGGTGGTAAAAAACTATAACCTGAAACTATGGTCTCCAAACCTTTCTGCAGAAGTAACAAAAAGCGAAGTCTACCACAAACAATTTGAGTGACTAGTGATATAGGTACAGTGTATATCAGCCAAACGGTTGGAAAGTCGGAAATTGGCCATTGCTACATGACACACCCCTGGTTTAAAAAAATGCCCAACTAAAAATACCAATGGATGTGCCCAAACGGTTTTTGAATCCCCCCCCCCCTGTTATTTAAAATTTAATTAATTTCATTTCGCTGATACACACTAAAATGCATTTATTGTCAATATAGTTACAATGTAGGCAGAAACAATGGACATCGTCCCACAGTGGTGGTTTCTCAATAAGTCCACATGCATTCCCAAAAATCGTTTTAAAATAACGAAAACAATAACAATTCTATTATGTATTTAACATTCTTGCACGTTCGTATCTCGCAATAAAAATAGTTCACTTATCTTACCTGAAATGCCAAACCTAACGGGTACACTGACACACCGCTGAACGTGTATTAAGAATTATTCCCATTCCGCCTTCCCGTGCAGTGCACAATTAGCTACGATCTCTGATTCGTTTAAACGCTACGTCGCCTTTCCCCGTGCGCCCTGCGAAGGTCCAAGTTGTAAAGTATAGCAAGAGCACACTCTCATTGTGAACAGTATTCGCCGGGCTACATAACGTTGCGACGTTACCGTTCATTATTTAAAGATAATTATTAAATTTAATTTACTAAAATTAGAAGATCAAATTAAAATAAAAAATGCGGGTCGCCCAAAACCGAGTTTGGAAATATCGAAAATCAATAAAGGAAGTCGGGATTATAAACGATCGTTTAAAATAGACATGTATGAAAAAACTGACTGGTTATGCAGTTGTAACTTTAACAATAGTCTGTATTGATTTCCGTGTTTGTTGTTTGGTGATGAGCTCGGTGATGAGGCATCAGAATCGACAAAAAATGGCGTTACAGACTTAGTGCATTTATCCGAAAAAATTAAAAAATATAAATTTTCAAAAGCACATCATATATCTGTTAATTGAGATTTAATTTATTAGGTAAGCAAGATATACGGCAACAGTTAAATAGTGCATATCGTTTTGAGTATCGAAAAACGTAATGAGGAAGTAAAAAAGAACAGGTATGTTTTATCCAAAATTATAGACCGTAGATATAAAATTTTGTGGTGCTTTGGAACTTGCTCTCCGCAGCCATAAACCCTGGAGTATTTAGAAGTCTCATCAATAAGCTTTTTTATGCCATTTAATAGGTCCAAAAAACTTCGTGTTGCGGTGACACTCAAAAAATTTTCGCCTCCAGCGTTTTGCCCGTGGCCCCATTTTTCCCCCTTTTTTTAAATTGTGCACCCCCAAGACACACCACAACGCGCCGCCACTGTCGTCCCACTACAATCCAGTTTGCACCCATGCGCCTTTGGATTACTGAGTACGTTGAAACTATATATTAATAGTTGCAAAAACACAAAAGGCGAAATTAAAAAGGCTTCAATTTCAATTTTTAGGGATAGGAAACTCTACACCATGGTCTAAGAATCCAGTCAGTTCCACATATGCCTTCTGAAAAGGGAAAAAACACTCAAGTGCCATTCGTGAAAATACACCCAAATTACCACTTACATACGTTTAAGCCTAAAAGTAGCAGGCCGTATTCAAACCTGGCCACCACAAAACAATGGCATTAACCTACCATTATTAAAATAATCATTAATGCAATGAAGGTTAAAGCCCAAATCGATTGATTGGACAAATGAGGAATCGAGGATAGAACCAATGAGTTTTGATGTACTCTATTTTACGTAATCCTAATTTATTAATTAATTTTACTGACATAAATCATCTTGCTTGATGTTCTGGAGGGAACCGGCAAGGTCGACACCAGACAACGTAATGGAGCTAGCACTCAAAAATAGCTCGATATGGAAAACACCAGTACAGTTAATAGAATAATAAAAGAGAAAGAACTGGACGAAAGAAAATTAGGAGGATGATACAAAATAAACGGCCTTTACTAGAAGAAAGAAGTGGAAAACGGTTCCTGCAAGTAAACATGCTAGGCCAAGGAGTGGTTTTAGTGGCTTTACCAACCTAGATCAGAAGGAGAGTCGCACACTACCTTGCGCTGATAAATCTAAGGAGCCTGAGACATCCTGTATACTTTATGAAATGAGCACACGAGTGAATGATCTTGAAAAAGAGAGCACCAAGTTCCAGCTTACTTTAACTATTGATAAAGCCTTGGAAAATTAAAACAATTACCAGTGAGTTTACAAAATACAAAATCAGTCAAAAAACAAAATTGCCTAAATGGCGTCGATGGTAATAACTTATTTTAAACGTGCCTGTCAATGGTACCAAAATAAGTAAACTGTTACTGGGTCACTGTGGCTCACTGAAATCAAATTTATGCCTAAGTTATTTTTAATATTTTCAAAGAGAACATTGAGTTTTTATTACTACTGTGCCGTGACACATCAATTATTGTGAAAGGTTTGGAGAAAAGTTTCCAACTACCTCTTCTCCTATTAGTAAGACAATGAGAGCAAGGATTTGGTTGCGGGAAATCTATAGTGATACCAATAATATCGAAAAGAGACACTGAAGAGTAAAAAATCAGAATGATTAGCGTACCCTTAGTTAACATTCAATTGGTGTTAATAAAAACGCTACGATTACCAAAAGTAGAAAAAACATCGGTATAAATTGCTAAATGGTCAATTACACTTATCTAAATACGTGCCGCACTATTGAAATAATGAAAGAATAAAGCTTGCAGCGCTGCAACAATCGCAATGGTAACTAGTATTTCTGTACAATTACTCCTTTTGCTTTGAGTACGATTTTCTTCATGCATCTTTGTGAGATTACGTTGTAATACGTTAATTTTTTCGCCATGCTCTTGCAAACTCTGTTCCAGATCGTAGATGGCGAGCATAATACTAAGAAATATGCGCATCAGTAACTGACGGAATACAATTTGGATTACCTGGAATTTGTCGCAGTAAACGGAGAAGTCTTTTTAACTGAGTGCGCCGAATCTGAATGAAATTCCTCAGAGGTGGTGGCGCTGTCGTTTATATCTGCATCTGACGATATCTGCTTGGTAGCAACTTTTCTTTTACTTGACTTTGTGGTTGCTACACGAGGTTCATTCTAGAGAAGCAAACATTGTAAATTACACAACTGCGGAACTTATTTTTTAAGCAAAGAAAACGTTAGGATTGGACAATATCAACTTTTAATTAGGTACTTCACCGTTCTTCTGTAACATTGACGCTTGGGACTACTTTCTTAGTTATCACAATCATTCAAGTTTTTTTGCCTTTATTTTTGAGTGGGCGGAGTTTCAGCTTAAGCTGCTTTTAACACACGGCCAAAGAGTCAGGACTTTTAGTGAAACAGCATCACTAACACAAGATATTTGAGGAGACTATTGCTAACTATAGTGGAGGGCGTATTGAAGTGGTGAAGTTTTGACTAAGCAATAATGGGGGAGCATGGAGAGAAATTTACCGGCGGTAACTCTACGCTGATTATACTAGCCGTTCGAATAATGGGTGCAGGATGTTTGGTTTTCGTTTGTATAATATAGTCATGCTCATACTGATAGAGATCATTGCGAGGATCCCAAGGTCGCAAATCTGAATGCTTATAAACCCATTGCCCATTCTTCAGGTCTTGCTGAAAATGCTTCGGAAACCAATCTTCACATTTCACCTTGCGCTCCTTAGAGCAAGCTGAAAGGTCGCTACTATAAATATGAAAAATATTACTAGAATAGTACCTCGCTGCACTTCTTCTAAAGATGTTTTTTCCTCAGTCGCTGTATTCATATCATCGCATAGAATGGCGGCAGATACATGTTGCCAAAGTTTTTCGGATTCAAATTCTCCTTGATGCTCAATCGATACAGTTAAACGTTTCAATCGCATTTTTCTAATCGTATTGGTGGGATTCCACAAAATTTGCTCCTCCTACAAATAATCTGTAAATACAGACTGCTTGCCAAACACTTCTACTACCCCAGTCCGCCTGTCTTTGATTTTTATGACACCATCCCAATACCCATCCAGTGTTGCGAGTGTCTCTTTTCCTAATTTCAGACGACCGGAGATACAGTTAATTTGGTCAACGCCCCCCAGAAACGGCTATAAATAAAGTTTTAAATATTTGTAGAGCCGTTGGTCGAGTACATCTGTAAGTTCTGGTTAGTTTTTGCTCCCTTCTTTCTGAATGAGTTTTTTACTTAAAACATTGTAAAATACACGTAGGTACAGCACTTGTTCAACAAACAATTATGTACCAATGGTGTATTTTACTACCAAAGAGTAACCATAGCAGAGAATACTTTCAATTCAATCTGCTATAAACTCCACTAAACGTAAAAGTACGAGTATACGCCACAATTTGTGGTATCATTATCCAATTAGGAAACATTACTGTGGATCCATGAAACAACGGCTGGGAAAAAATAACTACATATCACACATCCAGAAGCGCACGAACTTTAAACAAAGAAAAACCCTAAAATAGAAGTACATAACGTACATCGGATTGTTGATATGGTGTTAGTTTAATTAAGGCGAATAGTTCCCATTCTCTCCACCGCTTGATTGCTCACAAATAGTAACACAGATTTTGAATGAATAGAAAATATTATGGCAATATTTGTATACATTTTTGGGGAAATGCTATTTGCAGCTTTATTTAGGTGTATTTCCAACTATGAGCCCACTTTGACCTTGGGAGCTGCGCACGCATCAAGTTCAAGGGCATTCGATTCGGTTCTGCTTTTCACCGGAAACAGATTTGTTTATCAGAAACAGGTTGGTTGAGCGATTTTTGGGTAGAACGACGGAAACAGGTTGGTTGAGCAGAAACGAGTCTTTATCAAAAATAGGTCTGCTCAGTAGAAATAGGTCAGTTTAACATAATCAGGTTAGTTTAAACTACCTCTTTCTGATCAACAGACCTGTACTGAGTTTATCTAGTGTTTCACAAACCTTTTTTTGAACATCTTTCAGGTTTTATCAGAGACAATTTACAAATAACGTCATCGATAAAAAGTATGAAGAGGATGGGGCCCAAGACGCATCCTTGAGGTACTCCCACATTAACAATGAATGATCTACAGTACCGAAACCTCTTGCTAAGACCACAAAATATAGCAATATTATTTTTAAATTATTAATTAAGTCAGACTCAAAACTGTTCTACAAGGCACAATACACAAAAGTCTCCCAACACAATATGACAACGCTCAATAATTGTTTGGATAAGGGTGGAAGGTGCAATCATAAGAAAAAGAAAAATCTTAACTGTGGGTACAATCTCGACGTCAGGACTATTACCTAAAACAAATCAAAAGAGAAAGGAAATCCACCCATCTAACCTGCGTAACTCGGTGATTAAATAATGACTGCCCGAGGGGCCAACTTTACAACAACAAAAAAAAGTCAATTACTAAAGACACTATTAACTAATTTGTACAATTAGACCCATAGAATTAACGACACTTCCGCTTCACATTCTTGTTGAAAGTCTCAGGAAAGAAATGAAAATTGGGGATTTGCGCGCTCCGACACGAAAAGAATCCGGAAGAGGGCGTTAGTTAAACTCTAATTATGCCCACTTAGATGCTACGGGGGTTCTCCCACGAGTAATAAACAACAATTTATCACCCCTTTAACAAGCCCAAACAGAGTCTAGGGTTCTCACCTACCATCACCGTATTCAAACAAACTCGTCACAAAACTTTACATTAAGTTATTCTTCTTCCTATATTTTATATTCAAAGACGTCACTTAGTGGATGAAGTTTGGATATTTTCTATGTAGCTCAAACACGATTCAAATACATAAAATACTGCTTCGGATAAATCAGTTTCGTTCTAAGGTTAAAAAGCCCCCTATAACATTTTTAAGAACTATCTTGACACGAAACAACTCTTTTGCATATACGCTGGCTACCTAGTGTAGTGTGATACTTGGTGATTATTTCCCCTGCTCTATTGCAAATAGAATGGTGGAATGCAAAAAATATGAGTTTTCAAAAATATGTGGCTTTCATTAATAAAGGACGTGTGAATTAGAATATGTGAACATACCTCCGACTACAAACCCACCTCTCATTAAGTGAGCCACTAAAACATCAGAACTTACTAGTTTGCCCCCGCCGAGATAACAAATAAGTTGGTTCACCTTTAATTTAAATTCGAGTTCGGTGCGATATCCTGTCTTCTCACATTCAACGTACACCTTTCCGCCGAGCTCCATACTTAATGTACCCATTAGTATACCTTTACAATGAGCGTAAGGAATTGTCAATGTATAGTTTTCGCCCCTAGGCAATAGTGTCAACACGGCAACACCATCCAATATGGCCGAAGTAGAATTGCCATAAAACTTAGACTTTGCTAGTATTGAAGCGCTTATTGCGAAACCTTCCTGGCGATTAGTTACATAGAACGCAGATACCTGCAATATCAACTTGTGAAATATTCTCACAAGCAGCATGGTAACAAATTAAATGGCAAAAAGTAAGAACTTACAGGAGGGTGATGTGACACCTGTTCCGCTATATAAAACGTTTTTGTGCCATTAGGATGCAGCCAACAACAACGAAAAGTCTCTCCCAAAATAGGATTGTAAGGTTTTTTTAATCCTTTCGGTTTTTTATAAAAACCGGAAAGGTACCATTTTACGACACTTTTCATCCTTGTAAACGCGTCATCCTCTTGAACTGCACTATAATAAACAAGGGAGGTTATTTACCAACCAATTAAATTGTCAATGTACTCACTTTGAGAGAATATCTACATGATAATAGGAGTCTGAGAGTTTGTCAAGGAAAGATCGCGGCTCTAGTATAAAGGTAGGCAAAACAACTTTACTGAGATCCATTCCAGGCCTAACCTGCTTTACTAAGTACCAAATCAGGGATTTGTGCTCATCGGCCAATTCCTCCACTTGTTCCCCTGCCTTAGGCGTACACGGATGTTAACTTAGAAAACTTATAATTTCACATCCTTACATCTCCAAACTCTTCCTCTTCAATAAGTACATACGGAGTTTCAGGAGGATCCTCGTCAATTTCTTCTTCTTTAACTGAGATTTCCGATTCGGTATCACTCATCTCTCCGTCTCCCGTGCTTAACTGAGCCCCATTATCGGGTTGACTAGCATCGTCGAGATCTAACACAAATTAATTAAGACCAACTAACCATCTTATTGTAACTTACCATGTACAAAATGTTTCTCGTAATCCGCTTCGGACCACTGTGTTTCATGACTAGTACTACCACACGTCGATTTCGTACTAATCGAACGTATCAAGGCAGAATCACTGCGAAGCGATATTTCTAAGGCATCCAACCAACACATTCCCGAAGCTTGCGAGGGTGCACGAAAAATAGAATACGAATTCGGCAATGGTTGTACAACAGCACCTACAAGAAGAAATTGTGGTATAATACGCAAAAGTTAATTCATTACCAATAGTTTCATTTTCTGGTCCTCTAGGGGCCCAAATTGTCTGATCCAATGGGTTATATAGTTTAAAACAGAATCCATCTTTTTTACTCGGCCGTTCGATTACTTTACAAGAATTTAAAAGGATCGTTCCTACCCAATGATTACTCTGAAAAAAAAATGCAATTCAGAATATAACCGTTCCTGAGGGACGTACATCAACAAGGACTTGATGACATACAACCTACCTTACATTTTGGACTTTTATATAGCAGCAAAAGTCCAGGTTTGAGCACACACCACAACTTGGTCCATGATTTAAGTGATCCCCTAATCTTTAACCAATCTGCTAAAACAACCACCGAAGGATCCTTCAAAGAATTTAACAACTCATTGGCCACTCTCTTCTTTTCTCTCCGATAATTTTTCCTCTGCGCTTTGTAAGATTCCTTTCGAGTCAATTTTGGATCGGGCGACTAAAGATTTAATGAGAGAAAATTAAAATAAAACTTTGATATGTACTAAAGTAATGTAATGCAACCTTAAAACTGTTCTGAGTGGCCAAATAAAGTAAGATGTTTTTTTACAGAAAATGCTGGAAATTATTTTTACGATTACCAATTCCAAAACAAAAACCGAAATCCCTTACATTTTAACCACTGATATATTTACATTTTTGGAGAAGCGGGCCAAAATCTATACCTCCGTTCTAAAACGTCGCCATCTGGAGGCTACGAATAAACCTAAATTAACAACATAAATTTCTAGTACGCAAACTTTCAAATAAAAGCCTTATTATTATTATTTGTGGAAATTCTATTGTATATTTTACATTGCTAGTATCTATAGAAAATAGTACGTAAAATTTGTCATAAAAAATGATACAAAAAAACCCCCAAGATTAGCATAACCATAACAAAAACTACAAAAAATATTTGTTATTTAATTAGAGAGATGTCGAGGGAGATGTAGTTTGCACTTAAACAACACAAATAAAAAATAAATAAATAAATATTTTGCCATCCTTATATTCCTTTGACTGATTTAACTTATCGAAACACCACCAGAAAGAAAATCATATCAAAGAAATAAGTATCGTTGACTTTGCAGATTTCTAAAATACTTACCCTGAAATGGCGCACCAAACAAAAAGGGTAAACGGAGGTGAGATCGCAAGTTAGGTGAGATAGGAAATTGTCATAATCACCGACATTATTCCATGGCATTAGTAGTACTGCAGTGCCATCACGTGAAATCAGTTATCTGTGGTGCATGCAAGAGAATGTTCATTTGTCTTTGTCAATTAATTATCTGTGTGCCCATTGTGCGACACGGATAGATTTTTCACGCCGGAGCTTATAACTATTCGTGCACATTCATGTCAGATGTGAATGTAAATGTGTCTAGTTAATTCTTTGGAATTTTCGGAATTTGATAGAGGCTATTGAGTTTCCAAAAGGGATTTTGGGATTTTTCATTGTGACAGGAGGCGGACGTCGACGAAGAAAATAATTACAATTTTGTGGGTGGCGTGGTGACCGCATGCCATTGCGAAGGTACAGATACGAACAATGCTATTTCATTTGACTACTAATGAGGTCTGCAGGAATGATTGCAGGTAATTTAAGAATACAACTGAAAATATGTCGATATCTTCTGGCCCTCGGGAAATTGATGAGCAATTAGTGCGTGCCTAAGGCTGAAAAGTTTGGAGACCCCTGGTCTCAGACATCTCACAAAAATAATCATGTTCTGCCTGGTTGAGAATTGTCCCGGAGGATACATCATACGAGTATAAAGCAGAACTTTTTTTAGTATTATATTTATGGGTCTTGGTTGACATTTTTGCAAGGGATTTTACCCAATAGCAGACCCGAAACCACCAATATTGCACGTGAAACGGAAAAACGAACTTCCTTGTTCAACAAGAACCAAATCGTATTGTCTTCTTTATAAATAAACGACATCAACTTACCAATCCTGCCGTATAAAAAAAAATAAATGTAGGTACTACTTACTTCAGGAGATGCTTCGCTAAGTTGATATTAAATACCCGAAACATCACATTTCGAAAACAATTACAGTACAACATTACTTACATTTATAATCCTGAAGTTATAAAATTCGAAAGTGGCACTTGGTGAGTGCTGACAGAAGTGACTACTTCTTTCTCTGTCGAACTCCTTCGCTCCCTTCTTTTTGCCACGATGCATTATAGATAAAAGAAACGCGCGCGATTGGGTTCGAACCCGCTTCATCGACGATTTTAATGCCATAATTTCTATTAAATGCCGAGTTCGCCTTCGGTTCGCGCGGCGCTACTTGAACGGTGACAGATGAGATGATTTTACTCCCGTGCAAAACACACAATGGACATATGTGCATTAAAAAGTTTATTTTTATAACTAATTCAAGGCAAAAGCGACAAATTTCTAATATAGTCGTCACTTTTTAAGTTATCTGATCGCTAAGGCGATGTACACCAAAGTGAAAAATTTCCAGCATTTTATCTTTTGGCACTCGAAAGGACTAGCTTTATTACATTTTCAGATATAGTTGCCTGGTTTTATTTGGTCACTCAGTCCACCATGAAAATGTCGGCAGTCGTTATGTCATATAATGTCAGATTATCTTTTTGCTCAGTGATGATGATGTGATAAATGTTTCATTTTGTAAAGGTGGATATTGCTAACGCTTCGTCCCCCACTTTGCATTCAAATCTCCTTTCACTCTATCTTATATGAGGCAAAGAAAACAAGAAATCTTTAAAAATGTATTAAATAAAAAGTAAACAAAGTAAGTCAAAGTAAACATCTCTCAAATACAAACGTTCCACAAGACCTTAGAGCCTTCTAACAAAGAACATTTTTCTATGCCTGCGACTTCAAGCAACTCTCAACAGTAACTAACGAATATAGGCCAGTCGGAAGCAACATTTCAGTGTGGATAATTAAGCTCAATCAATAATATCTTTTGTTCAAACAGCCCCCTTTCTTAAAGTAAAACTGGCTCGGATATCCACTTCCATATCAGACCACAAAGATTGATATAATTCATTTAACTTTTCAATCACAATAAAATGCACTCATTATTGCATATATTTGGCGCGTTTTGTTCATAACTAATTGCAAATTGTTATTCTGGTTTGCATTGTGTTGAGGTGTTAAGACCATATTATCAAATCACGAAATCGCACGCCTACTTTATCAACTACTACTGGCACAGATTTAAACACTACAGATAGCTCATGACATAGTTGCGCCGCTAGTGTGCGTTTCAGTAACTATTATTTTCCCAGGTATAGTTTGTGTCATTCCTTATCAAAATGGCATCTTTATATTGATAGTGGCAATTCGAAAAAAACAACCCCTAATTTAAAACTATATACGTACAGATTTCCTTTTAAAGATAACAAAGGTGTCATACATCCCAGGTAAAAACTTTAGATATTTGCACATTTGTAGTTTGATTTAGTCCTAATACAAATCTGAGAAGGACCAACTGGGACCTCTCTGGGATCAATCTCAAGAACTGTCCCGCAGGAGTCAATAACTCGGCGGAACTGGAAGTCATGAAATCAAACCTTCGCATGACTGTTAAAGGTGCCTTGAGGCAAACTGCCCCGCAAAAGAAAGGAGAACCTAAAAAAAAAGCACTGAAAGAGTTTATAAAGCGCCGAGTAGCTTAGAAAAATACCTCTAATAAGGGCGGGAAAGCGAATTGTAAATTATCCTTACACTATTTCTAAATATATAACGCATTCTGGTTCCTTCCTAGGGCTAAAAGTTTCCTCGGTTGTTTCAGAGATTCACACGTAAAGTCTTGTCGACATCTATCATTGTCGCTTTTTAAGTACCTTCTTCCAACACTACATTTTTGAGATATTCATATTTAAAATTCTGTAGATATTTTGGGATAAACGGAAACGTAAAAACACGCCAAAAATTGATTATAGCTTTTTAAATACAAGGTGTCCCAGGAGGAATGGGTAATATTTTGGGAAATTAAAGTAGAGGTTATTTGAAGACAAAAACGCTAATAAACTATATTTTTATTCTCAACTGTTTCGAAGCAGTTGGCTAGAGACAAATGATTTTAGTCATAGTCGAGTTTATTAGTTTTTGTCTTAAAATAACCTATACTTTAAATTTCCCAAAATATTGCCCATTCCTCCTAGGACACCCTGTATACTTTGTGAAAAATCTTAAAAATGTTTGTGCAAATCCAAAATTCCAACTAAATTGTTTCTTGGATATATTTTTCTTATGGAAATAGTAGCAGACAGCTAAAATTCCGAATATAATATCACCAAAATGTTTAGCATACCTTCAATAATAAAAAATGGGCTTTTTGACGTCCCGCAAAGATTGATCAGACCTTTGCTTAACATATGGTTTCTTTATTATTTTGTTCCACGCAGCAAGTATGTGGAACAAAACAGGAAGACCCAGGTATAAATTTTTCCTATGCCACTTGACCAAAAAGTTACAGGGAAAAACCAATATTTTACCTGTTGTACCCCTATCAAACATTGACTTTTGTTTGGAAGGCACTTGAAATTGAGAATTGAAACTGGAATGCCATTGTTAATCAATATCAGATGTTGTTTAGATTCCTGAAGATACAAAATTGCCAAAATCATAAATAGAGACGCCCAGTTTTTGTTTTTACCTTTATGTGAAATTTGATGATAAGAAATGTTCACTAGCTCATGGAAGTGATGTACTTTGTTTCGAACACCTATCATGTGTTTCAAAGCAAAAGCCCCCTACAGCCTCATCAAGGAACTAAATAAATATGTACTTGATAACTCTTCCATTTAAATGTCTTATCTAGTGTAGTATTATCTTGAGGAACATAAGACAAATCGTATGCAATTACTTGAGCTTAAACAAGGGTACCTAAATTCAAAAAAACCTATAGGCCTCATATATCATTCAATAATAAACAATTGATCAAAGATGTGGATCGGTTAACCTACACATACTAGCCCCAAACAATGTTTTGACTCGTTTTCATTTGACATGTACGTATGCTCAAAACATGATGTGTTAATGTGAGTTACTACTGCCACATTTCATTTAAATGAAAATTGATGAAGTACAAAAAGAGGCATGCAAAACGGCACAAGTAGGTATGGAAGTTGTTTTCGCAATGGAAAATTCATAGTGCCAAAACTACATCGTGATTAAAACGTGTTCACTAATAAGACTAAAAGTTAACGTTGAGAAGTGCTGGGCAAAAATTTAAGTAAAAATATATGCGATGCATGCCACATTACACTTGTCGACCACTCGAATACAATATGCCACCACCACGTTGTGCAAGCTTTCTTTGTTTCAATGTACTCAATAGGAAACGATTGTTTCCGCAATTAATTCAAACATCTAAAACGAAATACATTCTTTTACCATAAAACATCAATACAAATGACATAAGAACTTAAGGGACTGACAGTAAGCCCTTTTAGCTCTTATATTCCACTACAAATAAACAATGAAGCGTTACAGAAACAATTACCTTGTCGGACGAAGTATTATCAACTTTTTCACCGAAACTAGGTCCACCTAAAACATGAATCTAAATTGAAACAATCTATTCGAATGACAAATCGAAACCTGGCGAAGCTGGACCTGGACTGCTAGTAAGAGGGAGTGAATCGTTTGAAGGCAATTTCGGTAGCATTTGTAGTACAGTGGCACGCTGCTTTCGATCATCTCCCTTAAATGACTTCTGGGTAGCACTGGAATTCAAATCATCGGTGGAGGATTGAGATCCATGTATTATTGGCATGTTCATATAAATAATTCATAAAATCGAAACACTTAACGATTAGCGGTTTTCGAGTGACATTTCTGTGCTTGAAGGTGGCAAGTAACGTGAAACATTTTTTGCTAAAAAAATTGCAAACGAAAGTGTAATTCCATTAGTTTGTGCTTTGATTACGAGGTACAAAAGCAAGACGTGCGTTCATAACATAACAGAGATTTTCAGCAGTGACAGCGTATCGTTGGTAAGAAAGAGCGCTAACGTACCGATTGGAAACACGATATGTACACAGTGTGTCAACACGCATATGTTCTCCAGGGGACCGCTTGCGCATTCGTCGCTGGAAACCGGGTCAGGGACGTGTGGTCGCGTAGTGTTTAGTTATAGCTGTGCTCCTGTTTTTTTCACTTTCCCCGTTCTTCGAACTCTCTGGCCCTCAACACTCGACACATGACAGAGATCGCTGCTGTGGTCATCAACCTCCTCTTGCTCGCCCTGGCACCCCCAACATATATTGGGCATGTCCGTAGGCAGCCCCGCGTAGCGTCTCCTGATTTTCTCGCAAGTTACCGTAACGTGCGGTATGAGGAAAAGATTTTTATCGATCCATACCCCAAGGACGATCCTTCGGTTCTATAGGTACCTGCCCCATCACTTCCAAGGTAGTCGCGGTTATCCTCCTCTTCCCAGTCATTTTGGCGCGTTTGGTTTTCCTGGGGATCAGTGTCAGCTTGACAAGCATAACAAGGGATACGAGATAGGAACCTCCCAAATGGCTACAATGTTACGTTATACCCTCGTAAGTAAGTCTGGAAGAAGAGCGTATCACCAGGGGTGTACAGGTGGGTCGACGAAATTACCCAGCAACGTAAAAAAAGGCCCGCATTGCGTATAAGGAGGAGATTCCAACGCAGTTATGAACAAGAATGTGTGCGGCAGAGCAGACGACTGTGGAAAGAAAAAGAAACGAGTCGAAGCACCTGATGGGCGCTAGTATAAGAGGAGGTTGTGGGACAACCTGGACAATGACGTCTGGGGGAAGGCCGGACCGGATAGTGGCGGAGTAAGATTAAGGCAAGAACGGCGGTGGTGTTCGACGCTTTGCCTATATCCACGACCGTCTGAGGCCGCTCTTGATGGTGAGCAACCAAATAGAGTGAGAACCGAAGATGTAGTGAAGGTTGATGAAATAGTAGCTGCCGCCAACGAACTGTCGGTAAATGAAGCATGGGGCCCGGACATCTTTGCGGAGATGGTTAACCTAGGCTCAGATCCACCCTAGATTTGGAAAATAGTCTCAGACCAGATTTTGGATACAGGAGTGTACCCAGAAAAATGGAAGTCAAGTAAGCTGGTCCTGGCGATGTGTTAAGGGAGCTGGAAATTCCGTAGGGCTTCTGGCAATCAGGGTAACAAGCGCGTATACGACGGTGGCGGGCAAAGATGATTTTGTGATCGCGGATGTTAGTCTCACTATACGTGGCCATCAAGGCTAATAAGGACTCGCGGGCCAGGGTAAAGTGGAAGCGATGGGGATGTGACAGCAGGAATGGAACAGGAGGCAGTGGTGAACGAAGCGGCTGATGCCCAAGATAGAAGATTGGCGCAATGAGGTGACGATGAGGCAACCCCGGATATATGACAATGGGCGGTAGCGAGCGAAGATTTAACTACGCTTCACGATTTACTCAACGAGAGAGATCAAGGGTAGGGGTGGAGGAACGGAAGAGAGAGAATAATAAGGCAGGCAATATAATACAAATTTACTTACATCCACCGCCAAGGCGCGCAAGCTGGAAGATATGTCCTAGGGCAGTACCCGGTTTGTGTAATTACAGTGTTTTAGTGGATACAAACCCACCCGCTATAAAGCCTAGCGGGAGCAATCTTAAAAGGTTTCCTAAACCTCCTTAAAAAATAGTGGTACACATAAATAATAAGAAAGTTAGATGAGGTCCATTTTTAGCGCATTTCCAACGAAGTTGGGCGCGCTATTACGCTTAGTTCGTTCTTTCTCGGTAGTTTATAGCTCTGGCACCTGAACCACAAATACTTCTAGTAAAGGCAAACGTATTGCACATAGTAAAAACAGATGTGCGCATGCGCAGACTGTGCAATGTCAATTTATTGACATGTTTGAAATTTTAAGCAATAGCGAATTTTTAAAATTTTTTTGGAAATGCGCTAAAAAGGGTTTTTGAATACTTCGAATGCCACTGTAATTTTTTTCAGTAGTTCTGCTGCAAAAAAAACAGTCATTGGTATTCTCCAATTACTTTCGGTCTTTCAAATTTCAATAGCATACCCAAAATTAAACTTTATTTTTTAACCTAGGTGAATGGACAAACACTTGACTACACCACTACAAACATTTTTCCCAACTGATCCAATAACAGATTTTAAACAATTTTTGAAACTATTAAAAATCAGTTTAATATTGCAAGTGTAAAAAAAGGCTGAAGTTTTCGAATTAAGGTTCACTTGCCTCACCTGGCAATCCTTCACTACCCCTACCAACTGTGAAAATTATTTTTCCCTCTCCAGATTCGAGACCAATTTGACATTACCTATCACCTGTGTTTCATTAAGCGAATTGCAGACGCTTTGTAATTTGTATTAAACATTCAATCTATGCCCACGTTATCATGATTAGTAGAAAACATTTGTCACGGAATGTCTTTTACTTTCAAATTTTGACATGAGACCTATGGGGGAATAAAGGCTATTATTATTATTAAAAACCATACATTCTCGAAGTGCAACTGGGCTGAATCTGAAACCAAAAACTTGTGGAGCATGTTATGAGTGGATGGTTTAAGAATGACAATTGGAATGCTGCTTTCAAATGTTGCTTCCTCGACCTCAATTTATTAAGAACATATTTGTAGGATTTGAATACTTCTTTCTTCTAAAGAATAATGCCTTTAAGGATTCATGGTATGCAACACTTGGGCTAAAATTATTTTTTAAATTAAATTATTTACTAGAAATGCAGTTAGTGAAATGCATGACAACCAGTTTTAATAATGTCAAGAGTTGGTTAAAAAAAAAGCAGTACACAGCACAATGTAAGATATACCATCAATAAGACACAGTTAAATATTTTTCATAAAATACTGGTTTTATTAGTTATGAAGTTTTTTAAAACGAAAATAAACAATAGTAGAACATAAACATAGAAGGGCAACAGATGATTTCATATATATATGAATATAACATACCATCAGTCAAACACATGTATTTAGTTTTTTTTCAAGCTATGTTACAGTGTACCTTTTATATATTAAAAAAACTAAGAAGTATGTTTATTGATTTCAGTGAATACAAGAGAAACGTATTAAGAGCACATACACACTATCCAAATGCCACCTACTAGAACAACTAAACCCTCAATGAAAATAAATATTACGTTGCACAGAAAGTAGGTACCAAGTTAGAATGTTTACTAAAATACTGAACGGAACAAAAAAAAAGAAAAAGTCTAATCGAGACTGTTTAACTCAAAATACTGAAATCGACAAACTTCAACGTGTCAGCAGTCAGAATTGCATAGCACAAGAGAACATCTAATATCAAGTAACATTATATTCTCGAGAGCAACTGAAGGCAACAGCGACAATATAAATTTTACGAAGTAATCAATTTAACAAATGGGCCAATTTCATAAAAAAGAGTTGCCGTATTCGCAAATCAATTCTGTACTACTGTATTTTCCCTATTGTGCTTTCTGCCCTGTAAAACGCAATGGGGATAGCACTGTTATATAGCCAGTGCACATGAAATCATGGCATATAATATTATATGTAATGAAATCATAAAAAACATTAAAAGTCGGACATGGCCGCATGGAACCCATGTTACAAATTGATCCGCAACGATGAGATTACACGACTGGCGCATTATTTCATTGCTACAGATGTAAAAGAGTTCCAAGTAATTTTTTATGATTGCTTCTTTATTCCGTTTTGATTAATACCGCCCTTTGGTATCTGCACTTGTGGTTTGTTTCCATGTACACTACAACAAAAAAGTTATCATCTTCCCCCACCGATAATGTTAGGAAAATACTTTTCTGCACTAGCGTCTTTCGTAGGTGTAACATTGTCTAACCCTAATTCTGAAAGCACACTAAGTGCTTCCAGAGCAGCCTTTTCGTGCGACAAGTCTGTACTGGGCCCCTCCCCATGACAAACTTGAGGCGGATTTGTACTTAAGGAAACCAACGTCAGGTACATCTCATGATTAGCCTTAGGAAAATCGGAAAACTGCACCTGCACACCGAGCAGCTGCGCCAAATATATCAACTGATCTTTCGCTCGTACGCTCTGCGTTACGGTCGGCGACTTTTTCGGAGTTTGCCCTGATCCGCCACCTTTACCCGCATCTCCCGAATTCGTGCCCGATGTTGTAGCTTCCGAAGTTTTGGTTTTGCTCTAAAAACATACTGTATTATTTTCTGCTTCCTCAGCTCAGATTAGTGAACATTAGTTTTGAAATTGTCAACTGGGACAAGTAACACAAAAAATTGTTGAGGAATCCAAGGGTTATCAATTTTATTTTGTACATACAACTGTCAGTAAATTGAACCATTAGTTATATAATACAACCATGGTGTATAATAAAGACAGGTGCGCGCGATCCGAGCAGCACTGAAGATAAATTCTGACAGAGTATACGTCCACGCCGTGGCGACGTTTATGGCGTGTATTTCGTTGAAATAATGGACATACGTAAAAAATATACAGGTTTATTGCACCATAATGACTTTTATTCTGACATATAATAATGCTAAATCAGCAACAATTCGTAATTATCCTTACACGGACACTACTCGATAAATAAGTATTGGGCAAATTGTTAATTTTTTAGCATTATTTACAAATGTAACCAAATTCTGGCACGTGACCTACAGCAAATAAATAAATAAATCATTATTTCCTACAATAAATACTTAAAACAGTATACCTACTCTATAAATAGCATAAATAAATAGCATTTGCCGTAATTGAAAATGAACTTGTATATTAAGAACTACATTAATTCGCTTGCAGTTTTAAAGCTGTCAGCTTCCGTATCTTATGTTGTTGTCCTTCATAAAATTGTTTAATTCACATTACTACATAAAAAAATGAACAGCTTTTGCAAAAATACCACTTTTATGCGAATTACAAGAAACAACAAATTCTAGTACTTATTAAAGTAACACGATAAAAAAGATAAAAGATCAATGAAGGGGGTATTTAACGTATTCTGAAGTACCCGCCGCGCTGACGTTTACTGCATCTCTCTTCACTACCTCTCACTCCAATTCCGTGAGTTTCAAGGCTCACTACAACCGCATTGACTCAAGCAGCGGTGCAACCACCTTTATCTTTATTATACACCATGATTACAACTGAGATAGACCAGCGTTTATAAGAAAATGTGCCAAATTCTTGACAGAGCAGCTTCCTAGCTCAAACAAAAAATCGCACCTTTGAAAAAGCGTCAAAAGTGTTTCCCACAGAAGTTTATTATTCCACTATGTAGAATAAGAATATTCAATAAAAAGTATAGGTTTCTATTTGAAAAAATTAAGTTGCCCTACACTTGACTCTTAAGGGACAGTTTCGTATAATTAAATGGGCCCTTCCATATGAATAATAATTTATATAAATCAATTTTTGATATCCCCGCTTCTGCAATAATCGACTGTCTGAAAATAAATGGGACCCCCTATATATATAAATTAATTAAGTAACATTCACATATAGTTTATGAAACTGGTAGTCGCAAACTTACAAAAGAATGACTGCTACACCCCAATTCATCTAGCTTACGCAGGTGGATTTAAACCCCAATAAAATCATCCCCTGAAACTGATATCTTTTATATTTTTATTATGTATGCAATGAAATTGAATTATACTCAACAAATTTTTTTTGCTCTGTAGTGTAATAAGCAGAATACCCACCTGTTGGAACGCCACGGTGTGATCATTTACTAAAAGCAATCCAGGAACAAGCTGGCGTCCCCCACTACCTCCAATGTGATTTTCCTGCTTCTCTTCCATAAAAGTTACTTTTCTAGTCTTTTCAATTGTTTCCACCTCCTTCTCTACCTAAAATTCAATCTGTTACGCCTTATACAATCAGCAAATATTGCAAAGCTAGTGACGATTAAATTAAATACAAACTTTAAGTGCGGGTTTTGGAACAGATTGAGCTGGTGAAGTGTTTGTATATCCTAATAATTGTAATAAAGCCTCCGCAGCATTCCTCTTTGCCACCTTCTTATTTGGTCCAATGCCGGTTGAAACGTGACCATTAACAGATGCCTCGATAACAAATTCTCTTCGCCTTGGTGCCCCACGTTCATCAATTACCTACAAAAACTTCATTCAATGCGAACATACATGCACGTCTGCTACACTTACATTATAAACGGGTTCTTTTTCTTTATTAGCCTGTTGTATTTGAATTAAACGCGAGATAGGATTAATTTCCTCGGTATAATCTGTCGCACGGTCCGTGTTAACCTTAATTAGGTTTCTCTGTTTTTTCTTATTAACTACACGTTTACGTTTTAAAGCGATTTGGCTATTAGTATTTGGTAGTGGCCCCAGTTTACTCAGTTCTTCCAACATTTTCTCTGCGGCTTTTTTCTTCGATATTTTCTTGCCATTACCTTCTCCTTCGGTCATGAAATCTCCTACACGGCACTGAGTTACGAAAACTTTCATATGGGGAGGTCCTTTTTCACTCAACACCTCAAAGATCACATTGAGACTTCGTTTAAGAGCTATTTCGTGTACCAAAGAAATAGGCGACTTAAGCTCACTATTAAGTTCGTTACAGACGTCATTCTGAGACAAAACTAATAACATGGGATTCATAAAACTGTGAGGCATATATATATACGTGTTACCATTATTCGCCGGACATTGTTGGGAATCGTCAACTTCTTTCTGTTTAATGTCTTCGATGGCTTTGGCAGCTGCATCGTGGCGGGCTGCTTGCACGGTGTATCCCATGCCTGGATACTCACGTTCGCCCACACGCAAACGAATTGAAAATGGCTCTCCGGGAGGATGTTGGTAGCGATACTGACTGTAGTAGCGATTCTCATAGTGCGTGTGGTAGTTTCTCGCAGAAGCGTTTCTTCTGGGATCATACGCGTATCTCGGCTGTCCGGGGTTGTAAACGTGCCGGGGATAATATGAAGCTTGCGGTATGTAACCCTACAGTGGAAGGTGTAAGCCAGGAAAGAATTTAATACGCTCAAAATACCTGCGCCGGAGCGGGAGCGCCATTTTCTAATACATATACGGTTCGTTCACCACGTTTCATCGCTAATGCGTTCAGTTCGACTGTAGGAGTTACCATACCTGATCCGTTTCTTAAACTACCTCGACTGTTACGGTTAGTTTTCGGTGGAGGGTGTTTAAACTCGGTTTGTTGTAGGGCCATAGCAGCCGCAGAATGTTGGGCCTTTTTAATACTTGCACCTTCTGCCTCATATTCTTCATTGCCCAATTTGAGAGTAACAGTGAACAGCTTCTTGTGAGCAGGACCCTGCAAACCAACAAAAAAAAACTTGCTCTTTACTTAATTGCTTATAGGATAACTATTGGGTACCAAATCCCAAAAAGCTGGACAAAATATGAAGGTAATGAGCGATTTTTCTAAAAAGCTGTATGTATCAGATTTGGGTGCGCTGATTAACGATCTGATGTTAGATTTTCAACAAACAAAACGGCGGATCCAATATGGCAGATAAAAATTACAAAAAATTGTTGCTCTTAAAAAGTCAGTGTTAATTACTGTAAGTATAATTATTACTTAATAAATTGATTATTATAAATTATATATATTTTATGATTTCTAATAATCTTATTTAAACAAATACAGTTTTTATCAGACCCGGCGCGGCGAACCCGCTTCCGCATGGGACATATGTTCGGTGCGACTGCGCCGCCTCACCTCGACCACGTGTACTACATTAGAAACCGTCACCAGTATACCTCTCACCGTTCCCCAAATTTTCATCGCAATCCGATGAATGGTGTAGGAAGACATAAGGGACATATATACAAACAGACAATTTTTATTTATATAGAAACTTATGACGAAATTTTCACAACCAATTGCATTCATATACAATAATGTGCTGAAGGTAGATTAGCACCTAATGGTTGCTAATTTTTGCTTCTTTTTCTCTTATTGATAGCGTAAAGAATGAGACCTTAAGTTTTTAACCGAATAAGATTTTTTAACAAATTTTAATTAACTATTTATGTACAATATTGCTAACAATTAATACTAATTATTATTACATGATATTATTTTACTTAATTTATTTTGCACACTGTTCAGCAACACGGGTGACGGGAGAAAAGGACATACGATCAGAGTGCCATGAGCTGCATCAGTTACTATGTGGTGCAAGGGATTTTTTTTAGTCTTCTCAGGTATTCGAGCCCTTGTATCTCTCAAAGTATTGATCTTACAGTAAAAATGTACACATAATTTGTGAAAATTTAATATAAATAAACTAAACAAATATAGAAAACGAGCTCCTGGGTATGGCTATCGCATTTGCAAATCCAATTTTGAACCTGGTGTTAGTTTTGCTTTTATTTATTAAAGTGTATATGTATGAAATTTCATTTAATTGCTTCCATAAATAAGAAAGTTGGCACTGCACATCCTACACAAAACCAAATTTGGAAAATGGCGCTACATTTGCTTTTATTGCAATTGGCTATGTATCAAATTTCATTTGAATGCCTCCATAAATAAGAAAGTTGGCACTGCGCGTGCGCAAAACGAAATTTTGAACCTGGCGTTAAATTTGCTTTTATTCCAAGTGGCTATATATCAAATTTTATTTAAATGCCTCCATAAATAAGAGTTGGCATTGCGCATGCGCAAAACCAAATTTTGAAACTGGCGTTAAATTTGCTTTTATTCCAAGTGGTTATGTATCAAATTTCATTTAAATACCTTCATAAATAAAAAAGTTTGTAATTCGGTTTATAAATGGTCGAGATGCGAAAAGGGCACTGTGAATGTTGATCGATTAGGCTCAATTTTTGGAATTGCGTTTGATATGGCTAAAGCTATGCGCATATTGAATTTCATGCATCGGTTCATAACTCACAGAGATGTCAAAAGGGCCTTCCTTATTTTTTGGGCTACATTGCCAATTCACAAACTCCGATCTACAAATTTGATAAAGAATCCATCTACTAAATTTTATCGTAATCGGTCCATTCGTTATCGTGATATCGTGCTAACGAACGGACAGACACTGCAAAATTATAAACTCTCTAGGAGCTCGTTAATAATTAATGTACGAGTAATGAAAGGGTAATAAAGATATTATTAATACATAGTTTTCGAGATACAAGCACAAAATTGAACAAAGAAACCCCCTCCCCCGGCTCGCGCTCAGGGACTTCTAGTATGTTGATCTTTACACCTCAAAAAATAACTACCAACTTTCAAAACTACATAAACTATTCGGTCTGATCGCCGATTTTTAGACTAATTTTCTAAAGCTTATCAACCGTATTGGTCAACTATTTCGTAAAACAGTATTATACGAAAAAGTTCACTTTTTGGGGATGAGTAGGTTTTTACAAAAATTATTGAACAAGGGGGTATGGTTCAAGTTGAGAAAGATGGCGGTACATCGCTCCTGCATTAATTAAAAGTTCCATGATTGTGAATTGAATTTATGCTGTGTCGCCATGGCGGAGCTTGAAGACATGAAGCGCGGTCGGCACTATTCACACACATCCAAGTCAGTCTACGTTGACAGTTTGTCCTTGAGATACAAACTCAAAATGGACGATTCCTCGGACGTCAAAAATCACAATCTACATTTTTTATGCGAGACTTGGTCATGCGCGCTTTTTTTGGATTTGGGGGAAGATTATGTGCCACTCAGAGTTCTAACTTTTGGATTTCCGAATGCATTCCTCCTTAAAGGCCGCTTGAGTTTCCGTTGCAGAACTTCATCGCGTATCGCTATTTCAGTGAACGCTCCATCGCGCCTCGACACAACAAAAAAACAAAGTTTGAGTGAAGACACGTCCTACAGCTTGATTTTGCAATCGCGCGGTTCCCGCATATCTGAACGGACCTTAAGGTTGAGGTGGCAATGCGTTGATCTGAAGGTCTTGTCCGAGTTAGTAACGTGACAAAATGTTCCCACGCTCTGTAGAGATTGTTTGCATACCGTCACAAAAAAGTTATGAGATGTCTTTCTTGTCTCACCAGATTGATTTATAGTGGTTGACTTCGCGAGGAAGATGTTGAAGCTGAAGATCTGCAAGATCCATTCAATTTTGTTCAATTTCCCACGTAAAATTTAATACCTGACCAAAGCTCTGTTGACAAATTTTTAAAAGTTAGGTTTCCTACCAGGCAAAACAGTGAAGTAATGTCCCCTAACATGGTCTGGCGTTTCTCATACAGAGGAAATGCCTTTTACAGTGGACATGTGCTCTAATTATGACCAAATTAAACTACACTCTGAGAACTGCCAGTACTGGGCGAACGTAACCCATGGACATCGGCGTGATTAAGAAATTTCCTTAAATTGTTGTCTATATGAATAAACCATAAAAACGACCAAAATCGTCACCTTCCCTTCCCCCCACATTCCAAAGCTATTATATAAAAATGTTTTACCAATTCAAGCAGTACATTCTTTGAACCAATGTTTTGCCCAAACTTGCTCCAAAAGTATAATTTGGAGCAGTCCTTATGAATAAAATGCAAATGAGCTATATCGTTGCTATGGGTGCACGGATAGTACTTACTTGCTCACTAGTCAGTCTGTATTGATGTTGAATTTTGTTATATCGAGCAAGTTCATTAATTAAACACATCGGAGTCTTTTCTTTATTGTTTGCCAAGTTATTGGTGGGCATAGTAGACGAAGTATTAGTGTTTCCTGTGGTGGTAATTTGATCGGGAGAATTTTCGGTAATTTCTGTATCGTAGTGTACTAAAAAATATTAGGATAACGCAATGCTGATCGCCACTGATTAACGAATTTACCAAGCTGGGCCATATTCGACTTTGGTTGCGGCTGATGTGGAATCGCAGTGGATGTGATCAGCGTAGTGCCTTGCGGCATTGTAACCAGTACGCCTGTTTAAATATAAAAATAAATTAAGATAAGGTAATGTCAACAACAAGAAATATAAAATATAAAAAGTATAGAAGATTGCATATAGTACAATAACTTGTTGCGGCCCAAGAACTTTATTGCAAATATATAATACAAAAAGGAGAGAGGGCCGTTTTTCTAGTCAGATTTGGCGATACTCAATTAAATACAAGGAGCTTTTACATTGTGTTTGCATCAACAGAATAGGACATAGATAACAATCATTATAATTTTTACCCCCTAAACCTTATTCATTGATGTACGTGTGAGCGCTGTGTTTAATCAATCCATAAAAAGAGTATCAATTATATCTGTAATCCATTTTGAGTCTCAATAACTACCAAACAGTGCATTTCAAGATAAAGAAAAAAAAAGAAGACTATAGTCGTATTATAAGACATCTCCAAATGACCGAGAGCCCGTCACCTTCGGTCAACTTCTAAGACGAGAAAATAACCTAAAAATTAAGATCGCCGACCTATGTGGCAGATGTGTTTACATTAGTAGCTCTAACTTTGGCTACAAGCATCCTGGGTTCGAATCCCGGATAAGGCACGGCTGTTTGCGATTGTATAGTGGGCTGAATAGCTATATTAATTACCTAACACTCTGCCCACTATAAAATAAATAAAAAAAAGGCAACAAGTTTGCTACAAGGTTATTCGCTTTATATTAAGTTGGTGGGTTTTCAGCCAAGAGAGACCCAAACTCACCAGGCTAAAACCAGGTAGTATATCTTGTAGGGATGGGGAAATAGCGGCCCATGACACGGTTCGATCCGGCCCGCGGTTAATACCAGTTATCTTTATTCGTAAAAACAAATTTATGAACAGGACGACTGAGGAACATCGTTTTCCGAATTTTTTCCACTAATTTGGAACCAAATTTCGACGCTATAATTTCAGTTGTCACACAGAGCATCGAAACAATAATTTTTATCAAGCTGATTTTTTGTTACTTCTGATCTGATAAATTCTCTTTGGCCCGCTTAAATGGAGTCATTATTTTATGTGGCCCTCTTTTAATTTTATTTCCCCATCCCTGTGCTAGACCGAGTTGGTTGGTCGAAAGCTCCATACACGCCAAGATTCTAAAAAACACCTAGATCTTGAGGGAACTGTGGGAACTAGTTGCAAAAAAAATTCCCATCATAAAACATGGGGAGAGTAGAGAGTAAAATGAATGCACAGTTGCAGAGCAGTGAAGCAGTCATGCCCGATAATCTTTTAAAATAACTATCAGTTACCTCCGCCCATATAATATCTTAAGACGTATTTCAGCGAAAAGGTGACAGAATGTGCGATTGGCAGATTATGAGCCTGGCCCCATGTACGTCGCCATGATCACGCGACGCTATCTTTAGATCTGAACTTAAACCATAGCAAGTCATGTTGTTAAGACCCGAACACATGCGCGCTATGCACAATCAAGAATAACATCAAAATAATCATAGTTGGGCTGCAAGGATAGAAAATGAAATGGTTATACAGATAGCAAGCATAGAATCACAAATATATATATCCGATTTTCTAATTCAAAAAGAAAAATTTACTCAAAAACGATTTAATAATATACAGGGCGTTCATGTCAAGTATATAAAATTCCGTAAAACAACGAATAGGAATAGTGCAAGAAAATAAGACAGACTAAATAAATCTGTGAATTCGATTAACGTTGAGGGAGGGTAAACTGGTTGCTTACTGGGGTTTATTAATATTACCAATGGTCAAAATCTGCAGGCTCCACATTTGGGACAACGACAACACAAATTAGGCTGTGAACAAGAGTGAAAGCAGTTAAAGAGAACTTAGGTGAAATGAAGAAAAATTTGTGTAACCATCAATCCACTTTTCACAATTTGTTGAGATCATTGAATTTATAACTATCAGAAGCGCGGATCCCATATAACAGTTTGTGATCATGTGCCAACTGGCCGCCGCTAGGGGCAGTTCGATTGTTTGAAAGTCCGTGGGCGATCGAAAGTGGAGCGTTACATTGACATTAGATGGTAGCATTACAAACCATTTATTTTGACCATTCGAATATTTTCCTTTTTAATCGTCCTTGAAGGAATGCAATTTCATACATTCTATTGACAGGCAGTAAAATAAGCAGGTTCCACATTTTTACTGAAAGCGGGAGATTTTGTTATTAAAAAACGATCAAAAAAAATTTGAAGGCAAAATATTGTCCGTTGCAAGCAGGCAGCTACATCATTTCCACATTCACATTTGATAACTAAATTTCGCGAATCAGCTTTTTTTATAACCATGCAGCATTGTGCACAAATAAATCGGTCCCAGTTTACGTGAATTCGTATACCTACTACAGCTGAGCGATAAATGAAATTGTTATCGATTTATCGATGTCTGTTCAGTCTGATAATTATCGATTAATCGTTAATTGATAACTATCGATAATTATCGATAACTTTAAACACTTATATAAATAAATCGTAACGCTAATTTTCGATAATGAGCGATAACGTTTGATAATTATCGATAACTTTTTATAATTATCGATAACTTTTGAAAATAATTAATAATGATTGTTAGCTGCTGATAATAATCGATTATTATTGCCACGAAAATTGTCTATCTCTGATATTTATCGATTAATAAATAAGTAGCGGAAATTATCAAGAGAAAACTATCGATACTTTTTCATAAATCTCATCGATATATATTCTCAATCGATATATTACATCATCCATGCGTACACTCGCTAACATTTTTGTTTTTTTGGTATTGATATTGCGAGAGATAATTTAAATAAAACAGGATCTTTTGATGCTCAAGTTTTCTGAAATCAAAGGTGATCAAGTGGACGATAATCCTCAAAAATGAGTACAGCAGTAGGTTGTGAATTGTGATCATATGGCAACTCAACAATGCTCTTACATCGCTTTTGTTGGAAGTAAACTGGTATACCTAAACATTGAAAAGTGTATGTCGTTAAAAATTCTCTTGATAATTATTTATCTTAATAGTGTAGTTGTGAGATTAATCGATAGATTATCGGTAATTATAGGTTTATCGACCAATCCTTTAACATTTTCGATAAATTACACGGGTCTACAGCATTTTTGCGCATGGGACATATATACCTTATTTTTATTGCTTCTATAGCCACAAATAAGGATTAGAACAAAAAATGGTTATGTATTTGTTTTTGTGTGAAAAAAATGCAAAAAACCAAAAAATAAAAATACGTATAGAATCCTACTTGCATAGGCATGATTTATTAAATGGTAACGTTTCTACATTTATAATTTGTTTATCTTAGAGTCTAAATGTTTAAAAATGGAACAGTTTTGCTGTTTTTGTCATGTTCAACTGAATCTGATCTTCCATCATGCTTCCAACTTCCTGGCCTTGGGAAGGTGCCTAAGTTCCATTGTCTCGAGAAAGTGTTGTCCTTATTCCGAATAAGCTCCCATATTATCCTTAAATTGATCTAAATGAGAATGTAACCTGTGCATCTTTATTCTTTAGAGACATTCTATACCCCATGATACAAAACCAAATCCTGTCAGCTCGTCATAATTTTCAGCTCTATGGTTTCCCAGGAAACACTGAACGGGAAACCATGGAATATTGCCTTAAAACTGTTCCAGGATTTTTTTTTCCTCTTTGCTAAGTAACCGCGGAAAAATATCACCCTCCATTTTTCTTTTTTTTTTTAGGGAAAACAAAGATTCCAGCTTTAATTTTCGCCCCTGAAAGCTTTCAATCAAATCGCTGTAACTTTTGTAAAAGCAAATATTTTCGATGTCTTAATCGCACTTTTTATTTATTTTTGCTTATTATAGTCAGAATATATATTGTGTAAATCCCATGCGCAAAAAATTCTTTTTTTGTTGACCGGTCGACCATTTTTTTTAAAATTTATCGATTGACTATCTATTAATCGATAATTATCGATAAGTTATCGATTAACCATTGAGAACAAATTTCAAACGTCAGAATTTAAAAGAAAAGAGGTTAACGACCTTTTTATTTTGTATCAAAATTGCCAGGTGTGACGTGTGATCCTAGATCAGGGGTCGGCAACCTGCGGCTCTTTTGATACCTATAAAGTTGCGGCTCTCCGTATTTATCTAAAGAAATTAGTTCATTTGTTCGAAATTCGCCTTTTTAATTAATCTTATTTTGTATCAAAAGTATACTTGCAGCAAATAATTATCTAATTTTTGACACTTGTTTACTTTCTGGTATTCTTTTGTTTTTTTTATTATAGCCAGCCTACTCCGATGTATAAACACGTAATTAATTAATGAGTAAGTACTTTTGTGAAAAATATTGAATAACCTAAACACTGCGGAGTTTAAGCACAGGGCACCCCTTATAAACATTTAAGAGAAGACAAAAGCGAATAGCGAAATAAAATAGTGGTAGTTCCATTTGAAAAAGAATAGTTATAGCACTTTGAACAAACGGCATTGAAACAACCAAATATTCAGGATGTTCTATTTAAAAAGATCAGTTATTAATTGACATCGTAAAAATGGAACACCCTGTACATTCAAAAATAATTTCTGTAGATCCGCAACCACCAATATTTTTACCAGGTATCTATCAGCTATGTAGGAAAAACCGACGGACTGTTGCAGGACCCTGTATATAGCCAAAAACTATAATATTGAATCAAAAATTATTTGTGGCTCTTTAAGAATTGGGAAATTTTGTAAATTGTAATTTTTAGCTCTTCCGTTTCAATAGGTTGCCGACCCCTGTCCTAGGTAGTTTAACCGGTGGCAACGGTTTAACCGACACACACAAAAATTAAGAATAGATAGGTAGGTACATTTAATTTCTGTTACAGTGATCAAGGATGCCTGCGTATTTTTTGCTTTCCTGTTCAAATGTAATTCAATCTTCCTTAAGGAATGTTAAGTAGGTCACGATTCATGAAAGGAAGAATGTTTATCTTACGTCATTCAACATCCTGTGTGCCACATAAATGCCTTATAAGTACGTTTCTTGGGTATCTAGAATTCTGTATACAACAATTACAAATCGAGATAGTGGGTTCATTACAGATTCCTGTATAATAATTAACAAAGGTAAAAAACTTTATTATTCATCTTTCTCGATGGTAGAGACATCTACGTCTTGTAATTTAAACTATTGAAAACAGTCACATATCCTGCCATTTAACCCGCGCTTCTGATAGTTATAAATTCAATGGTTGAGATGTATAACTTAATAATTGTTTAAACAAATCTTCCGAATGATAAACAAGTGCGCCATAAAAACATACAGGGTGTCCCATTTAAGTGTAGACTCAGACCCAGAAAAGAGTATGTGCTATGATAACCTCCGTGCTGATTTAAGAATAAGTACCATCGACGCCCTGTATATTTTAGCCTAATGTGTTTTAACGCACCTTATGGATGTATGATTTTGAGACAAAAAAAATGATAAACTATTTTATTTGTTCATAAAGAAAATAAAATACCTTCTATGCAGGCTTGGTTGCCCATGATCGTCTTTAATTCGGTTATTGAAAGGGCGGTGACGTTGGACGACAGCGAGAGGCATAACATCAACAAAAAAAAAGTCTTCATGTCTGAAATTAATACATACTCAAGTAAATAAAAATTAAACACATTGTACTTCCCTTAGTAAAAAAAACACATAAAAAAATTGAATTTAAACAAAAAATACCTGCCTTACTCCTCAGCTAATCTTAGTAGTACGTGTAACTGTACCAACTAAAGTTTCACTAATTGACCCTATCCAGCATGTAGCGTACTTTGCGGAATTCTGTTTGTAAATGAATAAATGGAATTACTAGATTAGATAAGTATAAGGAAAAATGAAGAACCTTTATTTATTTAAAATGATAAACAAAATCACCTCATAAAAGAGCATTCAATGGATAAGGTAATCAATCAGTTTCATACAATTATGCTATAGAAACTCTGGAACTGTTTATAATGCGGCATTAAAAATTCTGCTTAGAATATGAACCCAAATGATTTTAGCGCTACAGTTTTGAACTACTTTTAGGGGAATTGTCCACCCTCGAATGTTTTGCAATAGGTAGCCTATACCTTGAACGCGTGGCTGATGGCCTTGAAATTTTATTGTCTTAATCTCCCTCCCAATGAATTATTTCCTGAGGTGCCGTTTCTGAAAGTAAAATGTGCATAATTTTTATATGTGACTGTCTCAGATTTTGCATACGCCTGCCTCTAGCGGCGTCAAGTAAAACTTTTGAAGATTTGGGGGGGGGGGGCGTACATCCTACTCTTCATAGAATTTCTACAAACTATACCTGTCCTCCGCAACTGATTCTCGAGATCAGTGGATGGTTGGAGGGGGGAGGGTATTAATAATTAGTGTAAACACCTCCTCTATCGCCTCAATGACAGTGGTTACTATACGCTGGGGTAAGCGGACAATATATTCATACTAATAACGGGCAAATTTGAGGCTCTACTACGCAGACTGATACAATCAGCTCTTTAGAGTAACTGAAGAATGGTGTAGCAAACATTCCTTGTTCATCAACCCGACAAAAATGGAGCTAGCTCTTGTCACAAGAAAAAACAAGTTGGAACGTACTCGATGCGTCGACCTAGAGGTTTTATTAGCAAACCCATTTTATGCTAGTTTTACTATGAAGGAAGCTCTTTGTCCTGAAATATAATCTGCATGCAAAGAATTGTCACACAAAGCTAATGCTGCCAACCCGAGCATTTTACGATGATTCCTTTGAGAGTTATACTTAAAAAACTTTTGCAGCCGACCAATCGAACGGCCGAAGTGAATATATAAGCGCTACTTTTTTCAAAAACGCGCTAAAAAGGTAGAGGGTGCGATGGGAGCAACTCCCTTCTGTGTCTGCCTCCACTGGCACTAGATCTTCATGTGAGAGACCAGGCCACGCTGGCATCCTTGCATCAGAGAAATAAGGGGTTGTTGAATAGCAGAGGTGCTGAGGTGGCCCATTCTCGTACTCCAGGCGAGGCGGTTAAGCGGTTTGCCTATCCTAGAAGAGCGATATTAGGGAGAAACTATCATATCTTTTGTGATGAGGATGAGGCATCCCAATCAGACATATTCACTGATGGATCTAAAACAATGGAAAGAACAGGCATTGGTATTTACTCCAAAGGACTGAACTTCCATATCACCCAACCACTAGGCAAACACAACAAAACTATCAGAATCTCCAGAACAGCAGGGGGGGTCACTGTAAAATGACCTCTAGGTTGGTTTCCGAATCTCACCATGCATTGAGCTCGCATGGATCAAAGGGCATGCTGGAACGGAAGATAACAGAAAGCCAGACTGGCCTCTTATGGTCCAGAGCCGGCTCTTCCACTTACAGTTGCAACGACACCCAAACGGAGCACATGGCTAGGTGGAACATTATGTTAAATTGTCACCATGCGAGAGAAGCCTTCAAAGGACCATCTCGTAGCCTGGCGCGTTTTTGCACAGAGCTATCAAGAAAAAACTTGAGGTTAGTCATGGGCATACTTTCTGGGCACTGCAAACTAAAGAAACCCATGCGGTAGAGTCTGTAGAGGATGTTACACAGACTTCGTGAATGTCCTGCTCTAGTACAACTGAGACAATCCACGTTGGCGTATCCTGGCCGGACATGGCTACAATTAGAGCCACCTCCCCTTCAAGCATCCTTAGGTGCACCTCAGGTGTGTGATGGCTTGGGTGACGTTGAGCGGTCGGACGACTAGTCAGAGAGGGCCCGAATTTGAGGCGTATGTACGTGTGGACCCTGTCCACCCTCCTATTGTAATCCAGAATCGAGCTATCTTCTTAAAATGAAACACAGGATGTTTTATTTAACCGCTTAAGTGTTACAACCCGAGTATATTCGGGTTTGTACTTTTGTCAAGATTTAACCCGAGTTAAACTGGTCGCTTTATCGTTCCACATTATTTTTAGTGTTGGCCCGAATTGAGATGTCTAAAGTAATGCTATTTATGCATATGTACGAGTTAACACGTATACTTGTCTCAAGCGGATCGCGATTCAATGATCATTATAAGAAAACTTTGTAACATTTTTCTGTATTGAAGTTGAGAACTTTTTGATTTTCTCCCGTATCTTCTGTTTTAAGAATAAGTATACGTGATCAGGTAACAAGGTTATCGGGCCTAACCCAATTTTTTTATTATTAGAACAGCCTGTATAAAATAGCATATTAAATTCACTTTTCAAAAATTCAACACACCTGATATTCCAAAAAGACTCAAGTGATTAGACAAATTAAAGATTCAAAAAGATTAAAAAAATTAAACAAACGGTTCAAATAATTAAAAAAAAGTACGAATAGAATTGAGGAAGTTGGAATTTTTGAATGCGGGCGAGAAACATATAAAAAAATTTACATCAGAATGGGCAAGTGATCACAGAAATCGACGCCCAAAAAAAATACTTTCAGATTTTTTATTTATTTTTAAATCTTTCACGAGTCTTTTTGAATCAATATTGACTTTTTTAGTGTATTCTTAAAAATAGAACTTAATAATATGCTATATTTTCAGAATAAAATATATGGTAGTTCTATTTAAAAAAATTTGGTTGGGTTCGATAACCTTTTTACCTAACCCTGTATACTGATGCCAAAAACGGCAGATTATTTTACAATCATTATAAAGAAACCTTTGTAATAAACATTTTTCTGTATCTCTATTACCCTCATTCTGGAATTCAAAATTTTTTAATTTTCCCCCGTATGTCTTAAGGGAGCAAATATTTTGATTTTAGTATTTTATGTTTGACCCAGAGCGCATGAAGTTGATATTTTAGCTCAATACAAATGAAGAATTTCAAGATGGCCATGTGGCAGATACAATTTTTTGGAACGTACCTGATTCGTTTCAGTTATTTCGGTGTAAGGTGGACCAAACCGCACATTTCACAAATAACTGAAAATTTTTGATTTCCGAACACATGCATGTTTTCTAGAACGTCTATTCCCTACTGCAAAGCCGCTTTATTGTTTACTGAAGAACAAATATATGTATTAAAAAAATTAATCACAACCTGTAATTGTGTGGCAATTAATTACTAAATTAATGAAAATACAACGTGATAATTAATTAATTTATTTATTATCCCTCTCTTGTTCTGGGCCCTCAACAGGCTTGCGCCCAATTACATTCATTCATTCATTTCATTCATTTTATTTATTGTGCTAAGTAATTACATAGTAATTTTTGCACTCGTCTTACATCTTGGATGTAATGGTTGAACTACGCAACTTACGGGCTTGTACAATTTTACAACTTATTCCGCCTGGATGTAATTACTACAAACCAATTATATCAAGTCCAACACTGACCCTTCTAGTTGATAGCGTTGGGCAAAAAAATCGATTAATCGATTATAATCAAACGATAATCGATAATCGGATTTGATTATCCTATTAAATTAATCTATTAATCGATTATTTGATTAATCGATTATTTGATTAATCTATTATTTGATTAATCGATTATTTGATTAATCGATTATTTGATTAATCGGTTATTTGATTAATCGATTGTTTGATTAATCGATTATTTGATTAATCGATTGTTTGATTAATTAATCAGTTTACGCAAAAAGGAGCACTCACAGCTCACAAGTATTATTTTATTTTATAGCGGATGTTAAAACGTCACTTTAAGCAGCTAAAATGAATTAAGATTGTATCATCAAAACTAAAGCACACCTCATCGGAGAGTAAGCTGCCTAATCATTTATTTTTATTTATTTATTTTTATTTTTGACCTTCATTTTCAAATGGACAGGGTTTCAGCCAAGGCTGTTCTACCAACCAACCCACTATGCATTTGCAAATATCCATGCCCGAACCCGGATTCGAACCAGGGACACTTTGTTGATTATTGATTAATCGATCTGCCTAGTAATGAACGATTTGATGAAAAGAGTAATGGAATTATTTTTTATTTTTATTATTAAATAATTAACGTATTAATGCATACAAACAGATATTTATCACTCCTTGTACGTGACAATCGACTTTTGATTAAACGATTAGGTGATTAATCGATTATTTGATTAATCGATGATTTGATTAATCGATGATTTGATTAATCGATTATTTGATTAATCGATTATTTGATTAAACGATTATTTGATTAATCGATTATTTGATTAATCGATTAATCAGTGTAATCGATTATTTTTCATAATCGATTATCGATTATTCAAACCCGTAATCGCCCAGCCCTACTAGTTGAATATCAGTGAATATGAAACTAATTGTAAGCAGGATTGATGGTGAACGTCTGTTTTTCAGTCGGAGTCCGGATTCTTCACACGTTTAACGAATCCTTTACAGAGACCGGTGGTTTGGTCAGATTTCTACTTTTACAGTTACAGATTAAGATTCAAATCGTTTTACAGGATTGAAATGGATTTGATTGAAGCATCTCTCTGTGAATCCAGTCACTACAGAGGATTCGGATCTGTGATTCGAATCCTTTATTGGAAGATTTGTCCCAGCTGTGTCATCAATAAACAATTATCAGTAGGTAGGTTGATTGTTGATGATTACGGCTTTGTTGTTAAAACTACATACTTTTGGTGCCAAGATCTGAACCTCGCACCCGCAAATTTAAAAATAAATTTCAACATTTCTGTTATTAGTAGCACTAGCCATGACTTTTGTTGTTTTATGAATTGCTACTAATAACAGAAATGTTGAAATTTATTTTTAAATTTGCGGGTATACCAAACGCTTAATAAAACATGCACCTTTTAATTCTGAACAATTTTAAACTCGACAATTTTTTCTGTAAAATGTACAGGAGGGCAGGATATCGCATAAAACTAATTTCTGATGTTAAATCCCTATGTAGGTACTTACCGTGCACCACCCGGTATATTGAAGCCTAGCTATTTTATTCCTTTGACCAATGGAAAACAGTTGACAAATCTACCTATTCCTCTCAAAGTAAGGAAAAACGTGTTAATGTTTAGCTCCAGTCCTGTTTTACGTAGAATGATAATAAAAAATATTATTTATTCCGACAAACAAGATCATGTGTCAAATTTTCTAATTACCCCACAGTATGATTCCACACATGCCCAGAGAAACAAAGCAATATCTGTCAATCGGTAGGGCAAAAAGCATAATTGGGAAGTTGCTCCGCTTTAATATAGAAGGTCCCTGGTTCGAATTTGTTTGGTGAGGCCCTGCCACCTTAAAACCTGGTGTATACAATAACAAAATAAAAACTTGCAAATTTTGGTGCAAACGATCATATAAATGGAAATATTATTGGTAGATTAATTGTGAACTAGATCACAATTGAATTACACAACTGCCAGAGAAATAAATATATACCGTAAAGTTCTTAGGCCCTATTTTCTATAATAAAACTACTAATTACGCTAGGTACATTAAGATTTTAATATAAATTAAACGAAAGCAACGATACCTTTGTTTATATTTACATACAGTTAGCTAATGCACTGGAAAGGAAATGCAAACTCGTTGGCATCGTAAGTTCTTATCAACCCAGGAGAATCAAATTATCATTTTTTATCCAAAAGAGGGCCGCAATCTGGGTCAGAAGTAATGTCGGTCAGCTACCCCAACTGCACAAATTCCCCAGTGATTTGGTTCAATTTTGCTTCAACATTAGCACATGACTTATCAGTTATCAGTGTTGAGGTATGCAAGAGACATTACTTTTGGTGCTGACCGTACATAACACAAGTGACCCCCTGTTATGCACCATCATTATTAGAGACATTCCCAATTTCAATGAATCTATCTTAATTTGTAACAGCTTGTTTAGGTCATTCCTGTAAACTGTTTACATATTTGCCAAAAATCGATAGCAAAAACACATCCCTAGAGCATTGGATTCCCTTAATCACTGTGACAACTCATATTATTTCCCGAGTGGTACAACACCCAACCATATGTACACTTTGTGCTATTTCTAAACAAGATAGATACACGAAATAATGTATTTAAATAAGTAAATACCTTGTCCGAATGATCATGCATTAGCTAACTTTAGAGTATATAACCAAAAGAGGATACTAACCTGAATGAGGCACCGGCACCGTCGGCGGTAGACTCATCAGCATAGGCTGTGTTCGTGCATTGGGTGGTGGACCCATTTGTGGCAGACCAATTCTGTAAATAAATAAATAACTCGCTATCTTACCAATTATGCGACAAATACTATGTAACAATAATAATGATAGGAAGGTACTGCGAAAAATGCACTAATCCAGACAATCTACTACATTGGCGGTGTTTACTTTAAGAGCTTTTGCATCCTCAGCCTTTGCAACTTGGGTCATAATTTAACTCTCACCTTGTGTTTCTTTGCATATTAGGGGGATGATGGTGTTCTGGGTGACGCATCATAATTTACGTCTTATTAAACCTAAAATAAATGATTTATTACATTCGACGCTTACTTGTTTTTAACTAATTATAAGGGATTATTGGAACCTAAACCGGTAGAAACGCAATAACAAAATATACCTGCTAGTCAATGAATCACTAGTTTAAATTTATGATTAAACACCGTTATAGTTTTTTTTTAATTTAAATTAATTGCGAAACACCACTACTAAATCTCTTAAATACGTTGGCAAACAGTAAAGAAAAATCAGTAACTAACATGCGGCCATGTTATTCAAAGCCCCGATAAAACTCGACCGTAATTATTTGTCTATAAGAAAATGAGCGCCTTTGCTCTAGTGTGAATCGGTCTTCCAGTGGCGTAGCTTCAATACGGGATGGATTCTCATTTTTGTCGAGCCTGGTAAAAGTAAATATTTAAATTTATTAGGTAGATAGGTAATAATAGGTAGTAAACAAACCTTTAAGGACGAAAGATCAAATCAACCACACCAGAGCAAACTATTACAAAATGATCCTCAATCCACATCTATTGAAGTTGAGAACGTTGTCAGGCTGTCATAATCAATGCCCATGCATAAAACTCTCACTTTATCGCAAGGAATATTTGATTCCTCTTAAATACCTCTCCTATTTCCCAATTCAGCACTCATAATAGCTAGAATTGTGGACGGGGAAACAAATTTAGACATCGAGATATCGTACTTCTGGACGCAACAGTGGGCGTACAACTGTCGTCGATTGTAAAAGTTTTGCAAGCTGGATTTACAGGAGGAATATTATACTTCTTTTATCTCATTTTCAGCTTTTGCCCACGACAATTCGTGCGGCCATAATTACCCGCTATCTGCCCGTTTCCGTGGGAATTTTGGGAAATGCTAGTCTGGGAGTGCATCTGCAATCTAAAGAAATTATAGCAACTGATGACAGCCATATTACACACATATGGCGGGTGCCAGGACATTCGGATAGTGCAGACAACATATGTAAGACAGATGAACTGGCCAAACAAGGAGACATCAAGTGCTGGAGCTGGAGCCTTCTGTGGACTGCACCAAAGCCACGTAAAAGAAGCCCTACACCAGTGGGAGGAGATGAACAGGATTCATCACTGGTAGAGGGTACCATATAGGACAAATTATTCGTCAAGGTCACGTTATTAGGAAAGACCTACGGTCCATTACAATATATTAAGGCTGTTGACAGGCCAATATACCGCTTTAATAAGATTGCTCCAGCGGTAGAGGCCATCATACAGACATTGTGGACAGGATGAGACAGCTCAAACACATTTTATGCGGATGCGGGAGGCTGCTGCCGGGCAAAGATTAAAAAGTTGAAACCGCACGAGATGGGGGAACTAAACCTCAGAGAGCAGTAATTAGCTTTTTCAATCGGCTAAAACTATTCTAAAACGATAGTAAGAGCAGCACAAATAAATACTCAATAAATTATGTTAGTTCCCAAAAATCAATGCAAAAAGATTATTACGCCAAATACACACACAACCTTCCAGGTTCAGGCAATTTCCAGATCTCTATATAAAACCTTTCCAGCGAGCATTCAATCACTTTCGTAGGACTTTTTGGTTTTTTTCTAAACGCGAGAACGCTTTCTAGAACCTTTTTTCCAGGGCTTTCCGTGTTGTTTTCGAGAGCCTTACTATGTTAAAGCTTTCAAGGCTTATTTGATGATGGTTCTAGAGGGAGTGCACAGGTCATTTATAAAGCGGGGTCTGAATGCATTTTGTATTTTCTATATTAAATTCATTGTTAAATGTATTTTAATAACTACCTTTTCCAGAGGCAGACTGTAAATTGCTGTGGTGATCAAAGTCGAGAAGTTGCCGGGATCTCTTATAATGTCAGGAAGTCAATTCCCACATAGATCTGTAAATCCTCAGGCCTTTCGATTCCCAGATATAAACATATAAGTTTGCAGATAGTTTTGTTTCTGCAAAGAAAAATGTACCTACCTACTTGGTTTGCTGATGACCTCTACCCTCCTAGCTGTTTACAGCGAAAATAAATAAGATCTGAAAGTAGTAATTAAACAAGTAGGAGATGGGGAAAAGTAATTATGGTTTAGCTCGAATCAGAAAAATATTAATGGTAATGAGAATTGGAGAGGGGGAAGAAGTGCAAGTGTATATATGAACGATGAAATGGTGGAACAGGTAGAGAAAGTTGTAAATATCTAGGAAATATCGCAGGAGAAGCTGGGAAGAAATAAAGACGCGCATTGGAATCGCAAAAGCATTTGTCAGGAAAAGTAGAAACTGATGCGTAGCAAGTTGGACATGAATCTAAGGAAAAGAATAACGTGCTTTGATGAAGTGTTATTCTGTATGGTTGTGAAACATGGACAATTTTAAACAAGATAAGAAATGAGGCTATGGAAATGTGGAGAAGAATGCTTGGAGCAGGACAGGACGCGATTACGGACGAACAGGTACTAGAAAGAATAGAAGGAAGATCTTTGTATAACACAATCCTGAGAAGGAAAAGAATGTGGCTTGGTCATGTGGTAAGAGGGGATAGTTTACCAAAAGGCATGATTGAAGGAGCTGTGGAGAGTACAAGGAAAAGAGATGAAGATGGTAGACAATCTGAAAGAAGAGGATATGAAACGAGAGGCAATGGATAGAGAAAGGAAGAAAACTAAAACCTGCTGCTTATAGCAGAAAACTATAACAAAAGGTAGTAAAGCATTAAAAAACACAAAGTAGTGCTACTTCCCCCACTCAATTGTTTCTCTACTTTGCCAGGCTAAATATTTCTATACCTCCACCCCCATATGTCAATTTCAAAGTAATAAAGTTGTTTCACAAGTTTTTATTATCTAAATGGATCGCTAATTGAGATACATGTTCCATATTCACACATCAAGCAAATTTTAATAAAGTCTATAAAGTCAGTCAGAGCGAAGGCACTGGCATTTTATAAAATAACTACTACAATCAGAGTTGATTAAATTGTAGGTAAATACGCAGTACAGCAAATAAAGATATAAAGGTGTTAACTTAATTCTAGAAGAATTTGGTTTCAGTTCGACTACCGTATGATTAGATACACTTTCAGTTGATATTCACACATTAAGCAAATTTTAAAAGAATCTATAAAATCAGTCACATGAAGGCACTGGCAATTTATAATCGCAGTCAGCTGTCAGAGTCAATTAAATCGTAAATGTACAGTACAGCAAATAAAGATAAAGGTAATAATGAAAATCTTAAATTAACTTAATTAATCAGTTCAACTACCACAAAGAAGTAGAAAATCCACCTGGTGGTACACGAACTCGATTGGGAATCGTGGGCATCCCCGCTGGTAACTCAGAACTATTTTCCTCATTTTTATCATCACAATCTGCTTTAACATCGTTACGATTATCCTTTACCTCCTTGTTTTGCGAGTCATAATCGAAGCATGCGCTTATAGAGCTTTTGTCCTGTTGTCTTACACAAATTCTAGGATTAGAATTCCCGCTGCTACCGAAAATGTCTGAATGAGAACCGCCAGGTGGTCTCAGTACACGACTTGAACTTTTACCCTCGATTCCAACATTAACGTTCGTTGAAGTCATTCTAATAAACAAAAAAAATTATTGATCAGTTCAATTCAAACAAATTGACCATTAACTTCTAAAAGGCGTTTTGATGAAGGCAAAAGGTGACTATAAATACTTACTTGAGGTTAGTTATGAAGTAAACAACTACGTTAAATTACAGCGGGTTTTACGGAATTGTTTAACAAAAAGGCGTGTTTATTTAACAAAAGTAAAACGAAACCAAAACTAGACGTATGCACTGGTGGTTGTGGTAGAATAGAATTCGTTTCACTAACGACAATTTTTGATTGGCCAATAGGGACAGGCCAACGCTGTGACGATAGTGATACGAGTTGCAACCACGCAGTTCGGATTTTTGTGACGTTTCATTGGTTGAACGACCTCATTGTATCAGAGTGGGAAGTTTGAATTACACATGCTAGTGAGTCATACCAGTTTGAATGATAGGTTCATGTAACGTTTTTTTTTAAATAAATAACAAAAAAAATAAAGTCTGGATATGAGGACCCAGTAATTTCCGAATATAATCAGTTATTATTATATTACAAAAGTCTCAAATTCTAAAAACTAATTACTTGGTGTTACAAATTCGCTAAATTGATAGCATTGAACAATCCATTGGCTTCTCCTTGAAACACTTGAAGGTTCCATAAGGTGTACATTACACACGTTCCTCGAAAAAAATGTTTATAGAAATAAAATACAGGCCTTCCTATAAGTTTGAAATATGTGTGACACACTTTTGCGGAATTCTCTATTGATACCTAATGACACGTGAGACACGTCTCCTCACAAAAATTAACATCAAATCATTGTAGTCTGCAATGAGATGACAGGAGTGTTCTGGGAATGGGTTTGGTATGCTGCATTACTCATTCCCACAACAGCGTGGCGACGTGGCGTGCAATGATCAATTATTTTAAACACGATTATTGCAGTTGGTTACAGCCACTGACAGAATTAATGGTCTTCGGAATCCTCAACTGTAAGAAGAAAATTCGATCGAAACTTTAAGAACACGATAAAATGACTGTTCTTCCACAGTTAGAAACGAAAATGAATAAAAAATGAAACCATCAATGCTGTAGGACCATTAATGTTGGCAGTGACCGTACATCATTATGGATTTTCTTAATTGATGTTAGAAAATCTGTTACAAAATCGGATTTCTTCTTCAATGATATAACATTAGAATGCATTCTTTGACGAAACCATGTGGGTACACAATGTCCCTCTATTTTTCCGTGACTAACTTTCAACGGTGCCAAATCGGGACGGTTTTAGTAACCACAAAGACGGAAGGTCTTATCAAAATTTGACTCAATGGAGGTCCACTCAGGGGAGTATTTCCGCATAGACTGATATGCGTGACGAATATAAAACGATCTCCTTGCTTGCTGGTTTCGAAAGGAAGAATATTTACTGCATTCCATTGGTGAAAAGGAATAGAGCTCTTGAGCACTATATATGCTTTGTTGCAAGTTCTGCATAGTCTTTGTGGCGTGTTAGGTTGACAGTTGTGGCAATAGATCATAATTAAAAAAATACTCAAAACCGTTGAGGTTGAAGGGACAATCTGAACGCGCAAGTTATTGTAAAATTTAACCACTTGCAACCTCCCCTCCCCCTTATTCGCAAAATCGTGAACGGAAAGGAGAATGTGTATTAGCGCGCGGCTAAATCTCTTACGCACATATCACTTAAAGGTCAATTTCGTAGCCTATAATAATTTACGGAATGGTTATGGAATGGATATGGTATGGAAACGTTATGTATAGTGAGAATCAACCTTTAAGGTCCTACAAAGTAGAAAGCGGAACTGTTTTTGGCAACGGGCGCATTCCCGGGTGATGAGAATGAGCCAACAGAGCCAAAGTGAATGATCAAATGTGACACCCTAGTTAATCTTAATGCATGGAATAATAAGATGCTAGCAGCTTCTGAAACAGTTGTTGCTCTCATCTAATGCTGCATCGTGTGTACAGCCACCCCCCCCCCCTTGCTGCCGGGGTTAAACGTCGCCGTCTTGGACATGGTCTTTGATAGGCCATGACGAGAAACCAAGTTGACTTTCATCACGTCTTTGGAACTTGGAGGTATGGGGGGATTTTAGTCTTAAACGCCCGAATCAAAAGGAGACATTCTCAACAAAAAAAAAACGTAAGCCAAAGATGAAACTACTGATACCGAAAGGCTCAATGAGGAGGACAGATCTGGTTACTATAATACGCGAACTGAATACCAGGGAAGCTCCAGTCTAAATACCTAACTCCCCTTCCTACGGTATGGAGCCCCAACGTAGGTGACACAAAAAACATAATGAAGACAGGTGCACCGGACTTCAATGGAAACAGAGGCAGAAATTGCCTGTTGTCCTTGGACGAAACACTTTCTGTGCTGGATCAGCCAATATCGCGAGGCTCCAGCTCTGACTGCAGAGCAAGCCTAAGAAGCCACTGAAGGGACCAGAGAAAAGGCCCCGCTCTCATGGATCCACCCCCACGAATGAATAAATGAATATAGACGACGTTGGCAAAAAAATAAAAGAGCACGGGTCCCGTGAGACTCACACCCGTAACCAGGGTGATGTAGCAGAGATGGTAGGCATTTTTCAAGGCGGAGACCACCAAATTATGACCCAAAAATAAAAACTACAAATAAATGTTTTAAGTATTTTTGTAATACATAAATCCTTTTGAAGATGGTTGGTTATTAATGAGCTCCTAAAGCGGGTTCATGATTTTGAACTTTCTGTCCGTTCGTCCGTTCGTCCCTCTGTGTACATCTCGCGAACTGTTTCAAATTTTCCAATTCTGTTTTTAGTATTATGTTTATCATACCTCAATGACAATTTTTAGTGACCCAAGAGCTCGTTTGCTATATTTGTTACAAGTTTATTGTTCAATAAGATCAGTAAATGATCTAGATTTTTACATAACGATTCGTCCATTGTGAGGACTACAATTTTTGTGGTACTTAAATCATTTTTGTTTCCTTGTTTAATATTGCTTACAGGTGTGACCGGTCACTTTTTTAGTGCACATAAAAGGTGTAGCTCCTTCCCGTTTCAAAAATTTTGAAAATAAAAACTCACTTTTACATAACGATGCGTCTATTGCGAGAGCTGTAATTTATTCTTGTACATCGAACAGCTTTCTTTCCTTGTTTGATTTTGTTTATAGGACCCCAAGCCACCCTACAGTGTTTCAAAAATTCCAATTTAAGAAAAAATAAAACTCACTTGACATAATAATCCGTTTATTGTGAGGGCTGTAATTTTTGTGGTATTTTTGCTCCTGCGTGACTAATTTTTGTTTTTTTTCTAAGGGTGATATTAACCACCTTCTGCAAGACGCGCGTTTTCAAGGGGTAGTCGAATTTGACCTTTGTGCCCTAAGTGTCTTAGAGCTCGAATCGCGGTCTCCCTTTCTCGTGTCGCCAATAGAAGCTCGAGCTACCAGCGAGAAGTGCCCCAAAAATTGAGTACTATTTTGTGGAGGGTTTTTAGAGAAATCCACCAAGATGCGCATTGAGAGTGAACGGGACGTAGGTGGGTACCGACATCTTACTGATGGTATTAATGGTGGAGTCAAAATTGGCTAATAAATTAATGATCCACCACACAAAAATGCGCTGAAGTCCCTTCGATCTCACACGAGGACTTTGATGATTTCTTAAATTCTACTTTATAGCACTATTTTTAACAACTAATAAAAAATTGCATCTCTTGCAAATGATAGGGGAATTGCCAGGAACATAACAAATAATAAATTATCAACTTTGCACGCATTTTTCTCAGTAGGTACTGCAGAGGGTTGCTGGCATTCGCTGTTTTCCAATTTCACATTACAGCACCTTTACTAACAAGGAAAGAAAAATTCTATCCTCCAGGGGCATAATAATTAAGAATAAATTATTAATGCACACTTTAGCGGGCGGCGCTAAATAAAATGCTGTTGTATTGCCAAAGTGCACGCGGCGAGCGCCGTCGTCGGAGTGAGCGCAGATGCGGGTCTTCTGGCTGGTGGAACGCGGAGTGAGGTCGAGATGGCGAACTGGTTCTGCAGGAGGAGAACTGGTTGTTTCTTGAAGCACTGTCGAAGTAGGAATTGCTTTGCAGAGTTTTGTTGGTAAAGTTGCTATGTACGCTAAGTTTCGTTGGGGAAAGTTATTACTGGGTTCAAGGTTCTAGGAAAACAAATCCCTAACAACTCTCTGAATTTTAGAAGACGATATGGTAACTGTGGTAGTTAATCAATGAAATGGTGACGTCACTGCGTAAATAGGCATTGAAACCGTGCCGTCATTATCGACCAATAATAAAAGCCGCCACTGCTTTAATTATCTGTACTCTTTGGTTTTTATGTCGGTGTCCTTGATTCGCAGTATGGCCATGGTAACTAAATGGGGTCCTCATTAATGCTCATATTGGTATCACTGCCAGCATAATATAAATGACAGCTATATACTCAAACTTATTTTTGATGATTATTTTGGCAACGTTTTGATACGATATCAACTGTCCAACGTGCTTATGTGTAAAATAGCATATTTTCATAGCTGAATTTTTGTATTGAGTGCTTTGTGATGTTGCTTTTAGTGGCAGTTTAAAAATAAATTGTGATATTTATGTTCTTGCACACCATACTTATAGGAACCAGAAGGAAGGAGTTAAAATTATAATAATGCCCTTATTTGGAAAGAAAGATCCAGAGAAGAAGAGTAAAAAGGAGTCCAAAGATGCAGAGAAACCTCAATGTGTAGAGGACAAATACACATTGAAGGACTTGCTAGGAACGTATGTTTTGTTTACTTATTCACTGGTCGCTCTCTCCATGTAATATTCTCTTTAGGGGTGCCTTTTCGGTTGTAAGGCTAGGTGAAAGTAAAGAGCAGCATGGCCAATTGTACGCTATTAAAATTATAGATAAGAAGGCTCTGAAGGGTAAAGAAGATTCTTTAGAGAACGAAATTAAGGTTTTACGGAAGTAAGATGACCATCACTTTAGTATACCATTTATAATTGTATTTGCTTACATTACAGATTAACTCATCATAATATCGTGCAGCTTTTAGAGACTTATGAGGACAAATCTAAAGTTTACTTAGTAATGGAATTGTAAGTGAGCTTCTTACTAGGGGCGGTCCACAAAACATATGAAATTATCAAGTCCTACCTTGCAGGATTTCTCGTTGCAATAACTATAACTGACTTCCTAGCTATTGAATTTTGACATGCACTGTCCGGTTGATTTTAATATCAATCCTTTCTTTCTAGTATTTCCATTTGTTTGTTACTCTTGTTATATGTTGAAATGATATACCTGTTATCAAGCCTTTTACATAATGAGTTTAAAATGTATAGAAAAGTAGCTATTTATATGTGAATGATGAAGTTTGATGGCTACGGACAATGCCCTCTGTCAGAAACAAAAACCCAAGATACAAGTTGTTAACCCAATTGACATTGTATTAGTTTTCTTGATACTTTAAATGTTGGAAAATTGAGTAATATTCTTGTAAAGTACAGTCCTGATTAAATAGTTTCAATAGCAAAGTAAAAATCTATCACCCTCATAATTCGTTAGCAAAAACAAATATTTTTTTCCAAATAATACGAAGGATCAAAATGTTTCATGTCGGAGAAATGTACCCACAAATTCAAAAATTTTATTTAGATTTTTCCAGCAGCCAGTGGCAGCTCCTGCCATTTCAAGTTGGGGTCATGGGGATACCAACTAAACACTGATTTGTTGTCTCTTAATTTAAAGAAAACTTATTTTGTGTATTTTTCATTAATAAATCGCCAAGTTCCTCTCAATAACGTTTTGATTCATTCATTTAGTTGTTTAAATCAAAACTACTTAAATTGTGTATGTGATCACAACATAATGGCAGCTTCTGAGGTTAAGTACTTAGGTATCCTAATTGACTGTAACTTACGATGGAAAGCCCATGTGGACAATGTAACTAAACGAATAAGATTGTTAACGTACAAAATTAAATTACTTAAACCAATATTACCTGACAATTTATTAAATATGGTATATTACGCTACAGTACAGTCGGTTATTATTATGTACGGCATTTTAGGATGGGGTGCAGTAGCAGATTGTTATTTGCATCAATTAGAAATTTTACAGAAACGGATGATTAAAATACTTATGGGTAAAGACTATCGTTACCCTACCAATTTTCTGTTCGCTGAATCGGGATTATTAACGATTCGACAATTGTACCTATCTGCAAAAGAATGCTACTTTTACTTTTGAGCGCAAAGATACATATAAAGTGCTTTCCCATGAACATTATACTAGAAGCAACCAAAAAACGTTAATAATTCCTAAAACGAGTACTTCTCATGCCCATCATCATGCATTATACTTGGGTGTTAAGCTTTATAATAAAATGCCTATCTATTTAAAAAATTGCGAGACCCTACATGCGTTTAAGAAAAGGTTTAAGGATTGGATATTAGGTGTAGAATTGGATTTTTACTCCAAGCTATCGTGAATCTCTTTCTAGCCCTTATGTGGTTCTATATTTTTGTTTTGTTCTTTTTTTTTGTATTAGTGTACTTACATGTATATATACTCGATTACCCATCATGCACCAGCCTTGGCTTATGTGATTGTTGCCAATTTTTTCATTATATCAATAAATAATTATATTATGCTAAATAAATACAAAATACAAATACAAATTGCATTGTATATTCAGTTTTAATAACAAAAAACAAAAAATATTAGTAACAAAATTTACAATAATAAAAATGTCAAAAGTAATTTTCATTTTAAATGCCTGCGACATACACTACCTCAGATATAAAGCACGCTCTTGTGTGATATTCAAAAAAATAAACAAAGAAATCTTAAGAGACTTTTGGGGATGTATGAGTGAAATATTTGGGTTCATGTTTATGGCCTGTTTTCGTTTTGACTCCTCGACCACCATTATTTTGATTCTGACTTGTTTAATTGGGCTGTAAAATTTTATGTTTGCAGTATCACAATCTCCTATGTAGGTCATTTTAATAGGATTATTAAATTGATTTTGAGCAGGAAGGGGGAGAGCTAAATCCAATGGATCAGAAAAATGAGATGGATCTCCAGCTGGACATTTATTAACGATAATTTTGTGTTGCTGTCTGTTTTGTCTGTCTGTGTGCACGATAACTTTGTTTAAAGATGTCCAATCGCTTTGAAAATTTGTACACTTGTTCTTACAGATATAAAAAAGGTGGTTATTGTTTTTGGTAGTGGTTGTTGGTAAAACAAATGCTATCATTTATTTATGTCAACTATTTCTGTTATGGGTAGTCTGATTGGGTGGCATATGCACGACTGTTGTTATGTTTGACAAGAGTAACCAATTTGCTTGTTTAAGGAGGATTTGTACGAGGGGTATTAACCACTTTACAGAAAAGGGTATACTTTGTTTGTATTGTAGATATTGTTGGCAATATTTGATTATTTTTGCCGTATTTTCGTATGTACATGTATTTGCAATATTCATCATTATTGTATGGTTAATGGTATTGTATTTTCAGCGCTAGACATTTTCCAACGAAGTTGGGTGCGCTATTGCAGCCGCTTTCTCTGTCCGTTCGTCTGTCCAAGGCCTGAACTACTATAATTTTTGAATATATTCAGTTTGTTTTTTTAAAATTTGGTAGCTTATAGCTCTGGCTTCTCATAAAATCACGACGATTAATGTGCGCATGCCCAGAATGTTAACTTTCTTAGTTATTGAGACACTTCTCCGAAGTTCTTTGCAATTGAGCAAATGTACATTTTAATATTTTTTGGAAACCCAATTTGGTTCACATATTCTTAGACATAAAAGGAAGACCTGAAAAGCTTTTGGGCAGAACGCGCATGTGCAGGTGGTATCTGCTAGCCACACCAAATTTTTTACTGTGTACCAACAACATAACAGTCCAATATTGTTTTTCGTTCTGTTTACCAGTTAAATATGAAAATTTTGTTAGTTGACACATTTTGTTGTTCATCTTCTGGTTCTTGAATATTTTGGGTTTTCCATTTTTGCGAGGCCGTCAGTTTGAAGATGGAAGTATGTGCCTCATCAATACTTCCATGCTCAAAAAATCCAGATCGGATAAATTAACAGTTTCTCTTGCAATGCTTCCATATCCTCTTGTGGCCGTGAAACAACTATAAATCCACTTAAACAACTATGTTGCAATAATACAGATGACATAGGGGCCGTTTCCGATTGTGATTTAAAAAAAATTTTTAATTGTTGGATTTTTCTCTCCGCCTCCTAGTTTTCTTTAAAATTGTTTTTTAAATGTTTATAAAAGTTGGATACCATCCAATAAGATCTTTTGCTTACCTTCATAGTCAATTTGAAGTATGTAATGTTTCCATTACATAATTTATCTTTTGCTGTAGGTAAATGTGTATGCACCTCTCATTTATCTAAGTTTTTAAAAGTGATTTATCCTTATAATTTTGTTGCGGAGAAAAGGGCAATATTCTGAGATGACAGTTCTCCAAAAAACTACCATGAGGTGACTGAGGTTTATCGAGAAAGGGTTGTGGAGTATTTCTTTGTTGGGTGGTTTTAAACCCTTACCACGCGTTAAGTCTTCCTTTGGTTGAGCGGTTATTCCAGACCCCCCAGTGCTACGATCTTTGCAACTCTTTTTAGGAGAAGAGAACCTGATTCCTTCCCAAAAATTATCATGAGATTGCTGAAGGTGAAACTGTATTGTGTAAGGAATGGTTACTGAGGTACCCCCCAGTAGACGACAGTTTTATTGCCATCTCCAAAAAACCACGAGGTTACTGAGGCTTATAGAGAAATTTTTGGTATTGTGAGGGGTTTGTAATATTACAAATATTCATAATAGGTATTTACATATTTTTAAACACTATAGGGAAAGTGTACACCATATGTCTACCGAGTGGTTTACCTCTCGGATTTGTAGTTATAATTTTGGGTGGTTATCTCAAGAAATGGACAAAAGTTTTTAAATTGAAATTTAGTAGAGATGTTAATATTTAAATTCTACTTTTTTATTATATTGTCAAATATTCTGAGGCAGCTTTAGATTCCAAATGTATTAAAATTACACAGTCCTGCATATGAAACAAGCAAAAATGTAATGACACCACAATATTGAGGGTGCATAGGCTGATTAAACGCAAGGAAAACGTTACCAAATTTGCAAAAAGCTGTTTCGCACTACTTCTTTGTGTTTATACAAATATTTTTTACCATGCGCACTTCAAAGATTGTTACATTCACATTCAACTTTTTTAACCAGTTTTAGCACAGTGTACAAGTTCAGCTTGTGGATCGCCCCTCAGCTTCCCGCTTTTGTACTCTCGCTCATTATTTATTTGCTTAGGGTTACCGGAGGTGAGCTTTTCGATCGTATCGTCGAAAAAGGGTCGTATACCGAGAAGGACGCGTCCGGTCTGATTCGTCAAGTTTTGGAAGCCGTCGACTATATGCACGAGCAAGGTGTTGTACATCGCGACTTGAAACCCGAAAATTTACTATACTACAGTCCGGATGAGAACAGTAAAATTATGATTAGCGATTTTGGATTGTCCAAAATGGAAGACTCGGGTGTGATGGCGACGGCGTGCGGTACTCCAGGTTATGTTGGTACGTTAGAGGTTGTTTCGGATGTTCGATTTTAAGTGTTGTGGTTTAGCTCCCGAAGTACTCGCGCAGAAGCCTTACGGTAAAGCGGTCGATGTTTGGAGTATAGGTGTGATATCGTATATATTACTTTGTGGTTACCCTCCATTTTATGATGAAAATGACGCGAACCTTTTTGCGCAAATACTTAAGGGGGAATTCGAATTCGATTCGCCATACTGGGACGAAATTAGTGATTCAGCAAAGGATTTTATAAGACATTTGATGTGTGTTAATGTGGAAAAGCGCTATACTTGCCGACAAGCTTTAGGTCATCCATGGTAAGTCATTTTGTACTATGGACTCTTCTAATATGTTCAATTTTAGGATATCAGGAAATGCAGCTAGTAATAAAAATATTCATGGTACTGTTGCCGAACAGTTGAAAAAGAACTTTGCTAAATCACGTTGGAAAGTAAGTATTTTTGGAAAGAGAGATGTACGTTTTGAATATGCATTTAACCAGATTAAAACCAAGGCACTTTGTGTTAACCCCAAAGCCATTGAGGCCCAAAAGTGTTTGTGTTATACCTGTATCCATTCTTGCGTCGGTCAAGTTCTAACTATTAAGTGATTTTGTCATCGTCCCTCTATGACTGATCCATTAACTAGTTTTAACAATATCAGGATGGATTCTCATAGATTTAGTTCAGTCAATGAGATGGTCAAGCATAAAGCCGACTTATTTTTAACTTGCCAGTTTAATTCAAGACCTATTTTTGAAGAGAAATTTGTATTGGGAGATCATAATACGGAAGAACGAATTTAAATTATTGCATTTCTGAGATCCTGATTTCCGAAAGAGGGCATGTGAACCTCACACGTGTTTATCAATTTAAACCTTCTCGCATTTCTATAATGAAGATTAGCAGTTTCTAAAGAATATTTTATACCAGGAGACCATAAATACGAAAAAACTAGTTTGTCAATAAATCTGAACCCATTTTTTTTTTGTTTTTTTTTATTCTTTTGAATGGTTTCCCATTATAGAACATGTCAATGTTTGATCTACATTCTAACTTAACTAAGTATACTTTTTTTTTTAAATGTTTAATTAGATAGCTTAAACGGAAAGCTTAAGGTTGAAGAACTCGTTAAATGAATATAAAGGCAATGCGTGAAAGTATGATTTTATTCTTTTTTTTGTATATATTCATATCTTCTTCTTCAATTTTGTAATAATAATAATAATATTTATTAGACCATTAGACCATGTAACATGATATTGATCAAGTCAATGACAGAGGTTGTGTAAAATATCACATAACTAAATAATTTGAATAAAATATAACATAAGTACATAATTGTATTACTAACAATACCAAATGTAATTAAGTACCTACGCGAATCTGACAAATACTCTTCCACTGAATAGTAACACTGGGACAATAAAAAATGCATTACCTGAAACTTAAATTGTTTATGTCGGGTTTCAGACTTGAAACACTCTGGGAGTTTGTTAAAAAGTAATGAGCCCATATATCTCGGATTATTTTCTGACATACTTAGTCTATGCGCAGGAATGCAGAAATCCTTACCACGCCTTGTATTGTAACTGTGATTATAGTTATTAACAGAAAACTCCTTTGGATTTTCTTTCACAAACATCAGAATTTCTAGAATATATATAGCAGGAACAGTTAATAGTCCAAGTTGTCTAAATATATTTCTGCATGATGTTCTCTTCTTTACACCCACTATAGATCTCACTACTTGCTTTTGAATTAGGAAAATCCTATAAGTTAGATCTACCCCAAAATAGAATACCATATTTAACTTTGCTGTAGAAATGCGCATAGTAGAAACTTAACAGCACTTTTTCACTACTAAAAGATTTTAATTTAATATTGCATAGGCACTTGATGCTAAACTTTTGGATAAACTGTCTATATGGGTATTCCATTTCAAATTACTATCAAGATAGATGCCTAAGAATTTGGTACATTTCTCCTGAGGAATTGATTTCGTGCTTGTTTTAACTAACAGAGATTCCTTCCTTATGATCTCACGCAGATTGAAATTTATAATTAATGATTTACTAGCATTGAGAACTAACTTATTACTATTGATCCATTGAACGACACTATTTACTGAAGACTGTGCGTTCTCGACTACCTCACTCCCCAGAAAAAAGATAACTAGTGTCATCCGCAAACATAACAATATTAATTGTATTTAAATGTATTTAAGCGACTGTAACTTTGAGAAGAAATGCTTGTATCAAGGGATCATAATGAGTGGAATTGTTCACTGTTCTGCATTTCTGTGATCTTTATACCTACAGTGATATTTAAAGGAAGCATTCGATGCGATAATGATATCATTGTAAAAGGAAACTGGCAGTACTTTATAGGTGAAAGGTGCAGTCATTGATAGAAGTAATGATCATGGAATAGGTAAACCCTGCAGCATAAGCAAACATTTGACCGTCAATACCTTTTAACCTTTTTTGTAAACGTTTCTATGATCCTTTTGCAACAATTGGAACAAAGATATTTATATCAAGAGAACATAATGCAACGTAAATATTTTTAAATACCTTTGCGTTTCTATGATCCTGAAGTAATCATTGTGGTAGTTAAATGTTGTGGTATGTCTGTGGCCCTGGTACAATAATCATTTATGCGAAAAAACGTTTTTTTTTCTCTTAATAATCGTCAAACATTTTTCTATTCATAAGATACTGTTTTAAAAAAAAAAGAAGAAAGTATCAGGACAACATGGTAAGCGTTTAAAGAATAAGATTTTAATTTCCCGCCTGCCAGGGGGGAAAGAGCCCTCAGCTTAGTCTGCCCTATATTATTGGAGCGTTAAACCGCAATCGCCTGGCTCGCTCAACGGGTGGAGCTCAGCCACAGAAGGGCCAGCCCTTGAAAACCAGTTACCATTACAAACGTCAATAGTAGATGTAAGTACAGGCTGCGTGCTACAGCATGGCGAGAGATTTAGATGCGCGCTTTACTTGAACGTTTCCAGTGCCGTTGTCATGATAAAGCACTATAATATAGTAAGATATGCTCAACTGAATGCCACTGAAGTAGGAAACTCAATGGACAAGTTTTCACGGAAGTTAGTAATGTCTTATTCGGTCTGCGCCGTTATTCGCCATGCTATAGCGCGCGGCCTGTACATTGCTGGTCGCGACATTTGGCAATGGTGCAAACAGCGCCATATTTGGTTGTTCGAATTTTTTTTTTCTGGAAATTTTATGCTTTAACAATAATAATAATACTATAATTGACGGACAGTCTCCATTATAAAAATGACGTTCCATTTCTCTCCGGAACTTCTAATGTGTAATGTGTACTAAACATAACAGAATGAATTTAGCAATCAGCTCTTATATACAGGGTGAATTTTTTGTTTTTTTTTTGTTAAATATGGCGGTCTTCTTGGAAACTAGGTAGGATAGAGAGGCGATTAAATAGGAAAAGAATTTACTAACCGTTTTCAATGCATGCATAGAGTTTATTGGTACGAGTCAGAGTTTTTTTAAATTATTTTTTGTACTTATCAGTGGCAAACACAATTTTCAATTTTTTAAAAATGTTTATTTTGAAATGGTTTTGTAATTAATCGTTGATTTCAGCAAGCATATCATGCAACAACGGTTATCCGTCAAATGCAACGAATGGCTCTCAATAGCGGTGGTAGTGGGTGCCGTAGTCCCATATCTCAACGTAGCATGTCAAGTATGTCCGGCGGTGAGGCCTGCGGTAGTGTAAATGGATCCCAAGATAAGTAATTTAATTTTGAATATCTCCATTTAGCAACCATTTAAGAACAAATTGTTATTTTTTTAGAATGAGTTACGTTAGCTTTTATTTGCTTAATAATTTGAAAATTTTGTGACCAAAACGTTGCTACGATGATTGTATCATTTGACTCATTCTAAAAACGCATTTTCTTTTAAAGATTTGGTCTGTTTGGACCATCGCTCACGTAAAAAGACTTCCATACTGAAAACATGTGATTTATATATCATACTAAACGTAACAGACTTATAGTTTTACACAGGATTTGAGCCATATCCCTTAGAGAATATTTAATTTTTTTTATAGGCGGCCTATGTTCCACTTACTTTCCATTACTTAACCTTTTAACAATGTTATCTCTTACGATGCTCTCTTATATTGTTTTACTTATTTATTTATCGATAAATCAATATATATTTTTTTATAATTTTGTAAATTGTTGCGATATGCACAAATTTTATCATAGAAGCATATATTTGTAAGTAGCGTTTAAGTTTTATTATAGTCAAATCCAATATAAATATAGTGTTAAGAGCAGGAGCTGAAATTTTACCGTTATGTTCATCCAAGTAGTACTTCTAAACATAAAAAAGCCAAAAAATCTTACTTTAAAGCAATATTAAATGTTAGAAATATGAATAACAACAACAGTTACATTATTAATATACACTAAAAAAGTTGCTTCTATGGTTTTAGACATTGTAGTGTATGTAGCGTAAACATTTTAATTCCATTTTGTACCTTATTCTGATATTACTAAGTATATCATGTTCAGAATTATTTTTGCACGGAAATTACTCCTTACACTTGCAAATGTGCGTCTAAATGTGAATGCTTTAGCTGTTTCGTGCACCCACTTTATTTTTCACGAACAAGGTGAATGTGTCAAATCTAATTATTTTATAATTACTTTTGGCGCAGTCTTTGTATTTCTTAATAGGCCTACACTGAAAAGCCTATGACGCTAATGGCCACACGAAGAAAGAAGAATGATTGTTTATCCGTCCTTGAAGAGTTGCTTTATGCTTTCGTTATTGGCCTTGAACATGATATACAAAAATTTTAGTTCACTCACAACATGTGATATGTAACTATACTATCATATCTGTTATTATGTATTCAATATAATATACTGTATATTGTAAAAAGCATTTAAAAAAATGTAGCAGTTATCAGTTGCGTTTACTGTTCACGCAATGCTAAAAAAAGCTACTGTGTGTTGCTTTTAAATTATATAAGTTCGTTATCTTCTCGTCACCAAATACCAAACTTCTTAAGCGGTAGCGTAATACGTGTCTTATAGTTAACAGCATAAATAACGATCAATACTGTGATTTGCTTCTAACATTCAGTCAAAACTAAAAATGCTGTGAAAGATTCACTATTTGTGTATGCAATATATTAAGCAACCGGGTTTCTGCAAATAGATTTTAGGACAGGCCGCGTTCGGGATTTCGATAACTCTCTATAAAATGCTCGCAAAGATACAATCAGTCAAGGTCACAACATCAATCTAATATGTTCAGGACATAACAGTCAAATTTATCTAAATTTTTATGTTAGAAATTCTTCAGTCAGCCATCATTAGGTATAGGTACATGAGGTGCGTTCCATTTTTCATTTCAGGAGTGTAGAGACTATACGGTGGAAACGGTCACTTGATCACTGGAGCCAATTAATAACTGTACAGTAAACGAACGACATGAAGCGGAACATAACCTCCAAATTTTGTATAGCTTAACTTCAAACGGGTGCAGCACTAATGGATAACATCACCAAAATATTTTTGGCTGTAATCCTGCATGAGGGTGCAAATTTGTTATTTTTCGTCATTGCGCTCCGTCTACATTCTTTCATGAGATGGAGTGTTTGGAGTTAACTCCTTTTACTCTCTTTTGTAATAAAAAACGATACGGTGTCATCACTTTGTCTGGTGTGCCAATAAACGAACGGTTTAAAGCAAAAAGAGTGATTAGAACGCCGTTCGTTTATGTGTTCTGATGGTATGTTGTAGGAATTCATCAATTTTTTTTAACAAAAACCCAGTTTTGTGCTGGCCACACAAGGTAATCCAAGCATCTAATACCAATCACTGCCTAGGTATAAAGCTGTCTAATCATAAGCAAAAAATTAACTTAACTTTTGAGAGAGTGGTAGGAGTGGAACAACTGCTTTGTATTTAGACTGTGACACTACTAGATAGATTCGATCACCTGCTGCTTCTTCATTATTGTACCCTACAATCTTTTAGTATTATTACCAACATAATACTGTTTTTCCTAATTTTGACGTTTGGTAAAGTATCTTGCGGAAGGCGCCGTTTACATTATGTGTATTTATGGTAATGGGAAACCTTTGCAGAAGGTATGTGTCTTTCATTATCCTTACTGATGCAAACTTTTTGCAAGCGTTTGTTTCTACCAAATGCACCATTGCAGTGTACCTTGACTGTTCTATGCGAAAATTGTCAGCAAAATGCAATGGGGAAAATTTTCCACTTTCGAATATGCCCAGGAAAATGTCATTTCTCAAAACCTACTTCAGGAGGCATTTTTAAAGTACAGTAAGCGTTCGGTAATCCGGCACCCAAATTGTTTCGCCTATGCCGGATTTGTATGGGATATGACGTATTCTTTACATCTTACATACAGTAACAGAGTACTAAAGTAGGTAGAAAAAGTCCGCCATTTATCTAAGTGACCGACGCCCACGGACAACTACTAGGCACTCTACGTAGACAGGCGCCAACGAAAGCAGAAAAAGACGCGTGGTTACGCTGTCAAGGATTTTGAAATAAGCTCAACGCTTATTATTATTATTATGCCGGACTATTAAGCGCCTCCTGTACCCAGTCATCACTGACTGTGTGTTAATGATCTTGGGCCATTTGTGCAAGCATTAAACGTGTCTTTAAATTAGGTAGATACATTTCCCGTCCATCTGCAAGTTCTCATAGCAATAGAATACCATTTTGAGCTAAATTGGCTTAGCCTTTATACCGTACTTATTTTAAAATACACTCTTGTGTCCTGCTCATATTAAATATTGCCTGTTTTCTTAATATAAACTGTAGTCGCTTACGTAGGAAGCACCTCATTTGCGAGTATTTTCGTTATCCTCGTCATGATTTCGGCATGTTATGCATTTTAAGCAATACTAAACCTTCTTATTCGCTGTGATGTCATACAGAAGATTTATTAGAGGTTAATTTGTTGGAGGTAGCAACTAGATGTATCGGATGGCAGTTGGTATTTGTGCAATTCACAGTTAAATAAATAGTGTAGGTAGGGGCTTCCAAAAATTGAGGTAGTGTAGGTTTCATTCCGTTTTTCTAATTTATGGCTTACAGTTTGAGTTGCTCCCTCCAGGGCGCCACAGGGATTCTGGCCAAGACCAGCATGGCCGCCTCTGAATATATCACAAGCTTTAACTGTGCAATTGTAATCTTTTTTTTTGCGCAGGAAAAAGGAGCTTCGGTATACTAACTGCCATTTTTGAAGTTTGTGTTAAAAATATCCTCAATGAAATGTGCACGAGTTTTGATTAACATTCCGTTATAGCTTGTATATAAAAAAAATCTGTTAATATTTGTTGGATTGAGGAAAAGAAGGATCATAGTTGTACAATGTAAATTATTCCATAAACATAACTGCAAACAGAATATTATTCAGTGGCGCTTTGAACATAAAGCGAAGTGTTCTTGAATAATATTTGTCCAATTATTGAATTGTACATAATTGTTAGTTAATGTAAAGGGCAATGTGTTTTGCAATGTAGATTTTTTAACAAATTTACCGTTTGTTTATATATGTGTATATATAAGTGCTGCTGCAATAGCTTATATTTTAAGTTTCTTTATTTGAAGATAGGTTTCTTAATTTGTTTTTAAATACTAAGAGACATAGTGTTTACAATTGTTATTTAATTATGTATCACAATTATGTTTTATTGTTAAGCATCTAAAAAATTTTAAATAAAAATTAGAAAATGTTACCCTCATTTCACTTTTACCACACACATGCACACATATGTCCTTCAAGAGCATTGAAACTGTTGTGCTGTGTAGCTTGCGGGGAAGAGCACGTAAATTCTTTTAGGGTCAACACGATCAACATTGTTATATTTGCGTATACCAACATATGAGATTACAATAGACATATGATGTCTATGGTGGTTACGTGTTATTATAATTATAAAGATAAAATACTAAGATGGGGTTAAACGTAACGCTACTCATGACCATTTTGCGAATGACAAAAAAAGTCAAACTTTGCCATGCTGAGATTCAGGATTGTTTAGTAGATTATGTTAAGTTGATAGAAATTAGTGTGGCAACCTTGCATCAATCAAAAGTCTCCCTTTTAGTCGGAGTGTCACTTTAAAATGTTGGCATGAGAGTTGATCTCGTAAGCGGGATTGAGGAGTACATTTTTATAATATCAGAAATGAAGTAATAGTTAGCGACAATTTTTTAAATAGCCGATTGTAGTTTCTAGAACATTCAGTAAGAGTATTTTAGTGTTAACTCACTCGGGGTAAATAAAATAATGTAAATTTAATTACGTAATTGGTTTATGTACAATTAAATTATTTTTTATAACGGTCCTTAAAATAGATTGATTTATAATATTAATTATTATTTATCACTTCGGCGTCGATATTGGATATTAAATACAATTCAATTTGCTTACATAGCAAACGAAAAGCTTCTAGAGAATTCTAGCATATACTTCCTGAAAAGAACACGCCACATTCGCTTTCATGCCTTATTGCTGGTGGGCGGTGACTAATCCTCGATGGCACCTTGATATCACTCTAAAAAATTAACTACATAAAAATAAAAGGAGAAACATGTTTATTTTATTGGGCAAAAATGAAATCTTGCCTTCTGAAGTATGTTACTAATAATAATAGTAATGTCTTTTATTAGTTACACATCTTACAAGAAAATTTATAACAGAATAAAATTTGTTGTGTAACTAATTGGGCGAAGTTCAGATGACAGTAGCGCCACTGCCTCTGCTCTTCCACTTAAACCAGTATATTTATTTACGTCATAAAAGTGATGGTGATGGCTTCTAATTGTAAATAATAAAATGAGAATTATTGTCGACCGGTGTGGTACAAAAATTAATAATAATTCGTTATGGACGTAACATGAGGATGATATTATATAGGGACAAGGGTTCAAAGTTGTAAAATTTGCATTAAATTTGGAAGGTCAAAAATCAAAATTCTCGCGACTAATTTCTCCCAAGTTAACTTTAATACTAAACAAACATAAAATATTTTCGAGTGACTGATATCGAAAATGAATCAAAAACAGTAGGGGTTTGAAGA